ATGAATAAGTACCTATCAATAATAACCTTAAACGTAAATGGATTAAATTCTCCAATCAAAAGACACAGAATAGCTCAATGGATAAGAAAGCATGACCCACACATATGCTGCCTACAAGAGACTCACCTCAGGACAAAAGACCATCACAGACTAAAAGTGAAAGGCTGGAAACAAGTTTTCCAAGCAAACGGACAAGAAAAAAAAAGCTGGGGTAGCAATTCTCATATCAGACAAAATAGACTTCAAAAAAAAGGCTGTAAAGAGAGACCCAGAAGGTCATTTCATTATACTCAAGGGAAGAATCCACCAAGAAGACATTAACATTGTAAACATATATGCACCAAACATAGGAGCACCCAAATATATCAAGAAAATCTTAGAGGACTTCAAGAAAGATATTGACAGCAACACAATTATAGTAGGGGATTTGAACACCCCACTATCAAAAATGGACAGATCTTCCAAACAAATTATCAAAAAAGATATTGTGGCATTAAACAACACCCTAGATGAAATGGACTTAACTGATATATATAGAGCCCTTCATCCCAAAGAAGCTAAATACACATTCTTTTCAAATGTACATGGAACATTCTCAAAGATAGACCACATGATAGGACACAAAAGGAGCCTCAACAAATTCAAGAAAATTGAAATCATACCAAGCATCTTCTCTGACCACAAGGCACTGAAACTAGAAACCAACCCCAAAGAAAAAACCCAAAGCACCCCAAAACATGGAGACTGAATGGTATGCTATTAAACAATGAATGGGTCAAGAATGAAATTAGGGAAGAAATCAAAACATTTCTGGAAACAAATGAAAATGATCGCACAACAACCCAAAACTTATGGGACACAGTGAAGGCAGTCCTGAGAGGGAAGTTTATAGCAATACAGGCCTACCTAAAGAATATAGAAACATTTCAAACAAACAACCTAACCATACGCCTGCAAGAACTTGAGGAACAACAACAAAGACAGCCCAGAGCAAGCAGAAGGAAGGAAATAACCAAGATTAGAGCAGAATTAAATGACATAGAAACTAAAAGCACAATTTTAAGGATCAATGAATCCAGGAGTTGGTTCTTTGAGAAGATAAACAAAATAGACAAGTCTTTAAGTAGGCTCATCAAGAAAAGAAGAGAGAGGACACAAATAAACACAATCAGAAATGAAAAAGGAGAGATTACAACTGATACCACAGAAATAGAAGAGATTGTAAGAAATTACTATGAAGAACTGTATGCCAAGAAATTTGAAAACCTGGGGGAAATGGACACATTTCTAGAAAAATACAATCTTCCAAAACTCAGTGAAAAAGAAGCAGAAAATCTAAATTCACCAATAACAGCAAAAGAAATTGAAGCAGTAATCAAAAAAACTCCCATCACACAAAAGCCCCGGACCAGATGGTTTCACAGGAGAATTCTACAAAGCATTTAAGGAAGAGCTAACCCCTATTCTCCACAGACTATTTCAAAAAATTCAGAAGAATGGAAAACTCCCAAATTCTTTTTATGAAGCCAGCATCATCTTAATTCCAAAACCAGATAGAGACACAACAAAGAAAGAAAACTTCAGGCCAATATCGCTGATGAACATAGATGCTAAAATCCTCAACAAAATATTGGCAAATCGCATCCAACAACATATCAAAAAGATCATACACCATGATCAAGTAGGATTCATCCCAGGAATGCAAGGATGGTTCAATATTCGCAAATCAGTAAATGTAATACATCATATAAACAAAAGCAAAGACAAAAATCACATGATCATATCAATAGATGCAGAAAAAGCTTTCGATAAGGTACAACACCCATTTATGATAAAAACACTCAGCAAAGTGGGAATACAAGGAGCATTTCTCAAAATAATAAAGGCCATATATGAGAGACCTACAGCCAATATCATACTCAACGGGAAAAAACTAAAAGCTTTCCCACTAAGATCAGGAACAAGACAAGGTTGTCCACTTTCACCACTTCTATTCAATATAGTATTGGAAGTTTTAGCCACAGCGATCAGGCAAGAAAAGGAAATAAAAGGCATCCAAATAGGAAAGGAGGAAACAAAATTGTCACTGTTTGCAGATGACATGATAGTGTACATGGAAAATCCTATAGACTCTACCCAAAAACTCCTCAAACTAATTGATGAGTTTGGCAAAACAGCTGGTTATAAAGTCAATATCCAGAAATCAAAGGCATTTTTGTATACCAACAGTGAATCAGCAGAAGCAGAAATAAAGAGAAAAATCCCATTTGATATAGCAAAAAGAAAAATAAAATATCTGGGAATAAACCTAACCAAGGAGGTAAAAAACCTGTATGCAGAAAACTACACAGCCCTGAAGAACGAAATCAAGGAAGGCACAAACAAATGGAAACATATACCTTGTTCATGGATTGGAAGAATTAACATTATCAAAATGTCCATACTACCCAAAGCAATATACAGATTCAATGCAATACCTATTAAAGTACCAATGGCATATTTCACAGACATAGAACAAACACTTCGAAAATTTATATGGAACCATAAACGAGCTCAAATAGCAGCTGCTCTTTTGAGAAAGAAGAACAAAGTAGGGGGGATCACAATACCTGATATCAAACTGTATTACAAGGCCACTGTAATCAAAACAGCCTGGTACTGGCATAAAAACAGGCACATAGACCAATGGAACAGAACAGAGAGCCCAGAAATCAACCCAACTCTCTACAGTCAATTAATATTCGACAAAGGGGGCAGTAACATAAAATGGAGTAAAGATAGCCTCTTCAACAAATGGTGCTGGGAGAACTGGACAGCTACATGCAAAAAAATGAAACTTGAGCACAGACTTACACCATACACCAAAATAAATTCAAGGTGGATAAAAGACTTAAATGTAAGTCATAACACCATTAAAGTCCTAGAGGAGAACATTGGCAAGAAAATCTCAGATATTTCACGCAGCAACTTCTTTACTGATATGTCCCCTAGAGCAAGGAATGTAAAGGAAAGAATAAACAAATGGGATCTCATCAAAATAAAAAGCTTCTGCGTGGCTAAAGAAAACAGTATTAAATTAGCAAGACAACCAACTGTATGGGAAAACATATTTGCCAATGATACCTCAGACAAAGGTTTAATCTCTAAAATATACAAAGAACTTACACGACTCCACTCTAAGAAGACACCCAACCCAATTAGAAAATGGGAAAAGGACTTGAACAAACACTTCTCCAAGGAGGACATACAGAACATTCAGAGACACATGAAGAGATGCTCAATATCATTAGCTATCAGAGAGATGCAAATTAAAACCACAATGAGATATCACTTTACACCAGTCAGGATGGCTATCATAAACAAAGCAACAAACAACAAATGTTGGAGGGGTTGTGGGGAAACGGGGTCCTTAGTTCACTGTTGGTGGGAGTGCAGACTGGTACAACCATTATGGAAAACAGTATGGATTTTTCTCAGAAAAATAAAAATCGACCTGCCTTTTGACCCAGCAATTCCACTGCTAGGATTATATCCTAAGAATCCTAAAACATCAATATCAAAGAACCTATGCACCACAATGTTCATAGCAGCACAATTTACAATAGCCAAGAGTTGGAAGCAACCTAGGTGCCCATCAGTAAATGAATGGATCAAAAAATTGTGGTACATATACACAATGGAATTCTATGCTGCAGAGAGAAAGAAGGAGCTACTACCCTTTGCAACAACATGGATGGAACTGGAAAGCATTATGCTGAGTGAAATAGGCCAGGTGCTGAAAGACAAATACCATATGATCTCACCTTTAACAGGAAGCTAAACAACAAAACAAACAAGTAAGCAGAAAAAAAAAAACCCAAAAAACAAAGACACTGAAATAGAGAACAAGGGGATAGTGACCAGAGGGGAGAAGGAAGGGAAGTTAAGGGGAAAAGGGGGGAGGGATTTGGAGGAACAAATAGGAAGGACACAGGGACGAGAACTAAGGGGGGGAGGAAATGGGAGGGAGGTGGGGAGCAAGGGGCAGGGGAGGCTGGGATGGGAAAAATAGACAAAAAACTGTACTTGAAAAATAACTAAATAAAATTTTTAAAAAAAGATAAAAAAATAAATAAATAAATATAACTAGGTATATATATATTTGTTGTTGTTGTTGTTGTTATTGTTTTGCAAAGCCATGTTCAAATATCACTGTATTGGCCAATGTTATGTTGACAGTCATCTGTCAAAAGCTATAAATAGAATGTGATAGTCATAACCAACAGCTTTTCCTTGTGTTAATAACAAAAAATAATTAGACTCTGTTGAATTTTGAACAGTTTTGTGACAACTGACCAATAGATGACTGTCCAACTTTCTCTGTTCTGTACAGAACAGGTGCTGAGTACGTGACCATTACTAGGTGATCCAGTACTTGGGGGGATGATATGCCTCCAAGCATGAAGTAAGTAAGGGCACCCTGCTGTCCTGCCAGAGCCATCTTGTTAAGCCTGAATGTAAGTGATTTCTTTCTTTGCAGTTTTATTTACTTTTATTTTTTTAATTTTTGTTAAATTTATGGGCGTAACACTTTTTGATAAAATTGTAGAGGTTTCAAGTGTGCAATTCTATAATACATTGCCTGCCTACTGATACTGTATTATGTGTTCACAACCCCAAGATAAGTCTTCCATCACTATTTATCTCCCCTTTACCTTCTTTTACCTCTCCAGCCTATCTTTCCTCATACTGTTGTCTGTGTGTACATATGAGCTTTTTATAAATTACTCCCTTTACCCAGCCAACTTCCCCCCTCCTTTCTGACACCTGTCATTTTTTTCTCTATATCTATGAGTCTGTTTCTATTTTGTTTGTTAGTTAATTTTGTTCTTTGCAGTCTTCACAGTGGCCACATGAGAACAAGGCAGGACTGGGCTCCCACAGGTGAGCTGTGCTCAGAGGAACAGGAGCCCTGACCTCAGGCTCCTGCTGTCCTGGAGCCCAGCAATGGTGGTCCTTACCCTCCTGGTCAGCACCACTTCTCACTGCAGAGCTTCCGCCTTCTGGGCACTTGTCCTCTTCACTGAACCCTGAAGACCCTTCAGGACTTCTCACTGCAGAAGGAACAAATGTCCTTTGAAGGCCTCGGTGTGTGACAAGGAACTCAAAGGAAAAAGTTGGGAAGCTCTGAAAACCCAGGGATAGTTTGTCCCTCCCTCAAACCCCCATTATCTGCCTTTTGTATTCACAGGACCTGTAGGTCAATACTTTATCATCACTGTCCCCTGAGCCTGGGGTGGAGATACTTCTCTCTCATTGGGCTCCTCTGCATTCTCTTGGCCCTCTGCATTCTGCATTGCATTCTCTTCCTTCCTTTACATGTAACTTCATGGATTTGTGTTTGTGTCTGTAACTGTGTTAATTATTAGCTCTGCTTCTTTCCCAAGGTGGTCTTACAAATCTTTACTCTTCTATTAAAGAAAGCAGATCTGTCATTTGGCAGCCTCCCAAAATGACTTTGTAAAATAGAGCCCTGCCCTTCCCCTTCTAAATTCTATTGTGTTCAACTCATTGACCTCTTTGGGGTTTATTTGACACAGGTATTAGCCTAATTAACAAAAAAGTTAAAATGTGAACTATCTTAAATTAAAGCAAATTTGGATTTTACTATAAAGGATACAGTAAAGAATTAGGGGGATCTTTTGTAGAAAACACTGTTCATCTGTAACCATGAAAAGTTCTTATTTGCTCTTACCTCTTTTGTAATGTATGCTTCCAGGTGTATGTGACTTTATTACGTCCATATGCTCTATAAAGTAAAAGGGAGAAAACAGTTATTTGTTGCATCAGTCTTACAAATTCTATAACAACTCACACAGCAGATCGGGTTTGTGATAATCTCAATGTTGAGATGAGCATTTTCCTCTTTCCTGCAACTCAACCTAGTTCTGATACCCAGGGTCCTAATGCTGGAATCCTGCCCAGCTCTCCCCTGTACTTTTATATGTGAATTTGTAAATGACCTTCAAACATTACTATCTCCAGTGTCCCCATCTGTAATGATGGGATAACCTAGGTACCCTACCACCCTGCTAAGGTTTTTGTGAAAACAAAATGAACCTTTATTTACAAAAGCCCTTTGAAAAATCAAAATTTAAGCCAATAGTTTAAGTATCATTTGGATTTGGGAGTGTTGGTCTGAGCCAATTTTTCCATTAATAATTAAATATCAGCACAACTTATTCTTTGAAGATATTTTAAGTTTAGTACTAATGACATGTTGTCAACAAATACAGAAATTCTGTGCTCACTCTGCTCTACAGAATATGAAGCATGTTTGTAGAAACTAAGTATATTATTTCAACCCTTTAGCATTAATAGATATGAGAATGTGTACTAAGACTCATTTACTAGTGTAGTGTATTATCGCTACATTTTTAATGTATCAATTGATTGGGCTCATCTAATTAAATCACAGTTTATAATGCCTCTTGCTTACTCCTATTTTCCAATAGAGTCAAAGAAGTTAGATGCTCAAAATGCCATAGAAGTAATCAAATCAATGTACACAAAGATTGTCAGAGTAAGATTCATCAGGGATACAGAGCTCTGAATTTAGACTCTGGATTTTTGTTGCCCAGAAATACAATCTTAGTATTCTCATCTGGTGCAGTTCAGAATCATAAGCATGTGGCTTCTTGGGTCTCTTCTCTTTTACTTGATTGGAAGGAGTCAAGGTTATCGATCATTGCACAAAGACAGGATTCTTCAGGTGTCTCAGTGTGTGACCAAGGAACCAATTCAGCAGGAAATTCCCTAATAAAACTTGGAAACATCTTTCTTGAAAACCCAAGTGTATCATAACCTGTACATAGGCCACCTGGTCTGCCCTCTAAGTCACCTGCTTGGTAGGTTAGTGGTCCTTTCCCTGTCCTGAGAGCAAAGACCAGTCACCAGCAAGGGGTCCCTCTGCTCTGTTTGAGCCTTACCTTCCTCCACTTGTCTCTCTTCCCCTCTTCTACCTCTTACCCCTTATAGTGCCATCAATATGTCAACAGGTCTTAATTCAGTAGCAAAATTAATTTCATACTCCTGCAGCCCAAGGCTTGAGCCCCAACCACCTTACCAGGTTCCCTTGTCAGTGCTGAGGTGGAGGCTTGGGGGAGAGCAGGCATGTCTCCATCGTTAAATCTTGTGGAGGCCTCACTGCTGATCACTACACAGAGGAGCAAACCTTTTAGTGTTTCAGGATGGCACCAAGGAGCCCACAGACAGAAAACCCCCTTAAAGACATCACTGGGAAGACCTAGAAGCTACTGAGATTCCTGGGGTCTGTGCCCTAAGGTGTGTGACCTGCAGGTTGCTCCAAGTCCTACACAGAAGGTTGTGAGAGGGCAGCTGTGCCCATGCTGCAGCTCTTCTCAACCCCACAAGTCACTCTGCTCCCCACCTCCACCCTCACTCTACCTCTTATCCCCTCCCTCATTCTTCTCTTCTTCACTCTCCTATTACCTCCTACCTCATTTTACCTCTTTCATTTTTTATCATTCCAACATATCTAAATATCTATTAATCTAGAAAGATAGATCTGAAAGAAGTACACGTAAAGCCTAATTTTAAAAATGGAATCAAACTATATATTTTTTAATATTATTTATTATTTTTAAATGGATTGATCGGGCTGATGTTGTGTCACAAAACTATACAAGTTTCAAGTGTGCAGCTCAATAAAACATCATCTGAACACTGCATTGTGAACCCACCACCCCAAGCAAAGTCTCTTTCTTCACTTTCCTCTTGGTTCAGCCCAATTTTGCTAGTTGTGCCTGTTTCACGTGAAGGTGAAATTTTCTCTTTATATCTCTCCTTGTCTTCATGTTTAGCTTTTTTTTCATCCCCTTTCACGAATATCTTGGATCTCTGAATTATTTCCCTTTTCTTTAACTCTTACCCTAATACCTTCCTCTCTCTGAATACAGAAATATACTCTCTGTCCCCAGTATGTAAATTTACCTGTTCTGTTTTAGATATTTGTGAACTGCTCATTCCCTCCCCTTTCTATTTGTCACCAAGGCCAGTAGAACTGCCTCTATGGGTCCTATGATGTGTCGCAGACCCTTGTCTGTACCAAGATTCACACACTCTTTCAGTCAGCCTTATCTATTATGTCAGATGCCTGGTTATATTCAGTCTTTGCTTGGGCTTCCCATTCATGTCCTGAATTTTAAAAATGTCATTAAAAATATAATAAAGGCTTGTCCTTCATTATATCCACTGGATCTACAGAGCAAAAATTGATTTGGTTTCCACAGTGGGGTAGCTCTGCTCCTGGAGCAAATTACAATTAATGAAGAATTACATTTGTCTCCCCAAATGGAGAGACACCCTCACTGTAATGAAGCCCTTCTCCCTGGAATCCCACTGCAGAGAGAGCTCCCTAACCCTCGCCTTTCCTGCTGCTCAGCTCTGTCCTTCCTTGGAGCCTCTTTAACCCCAGGTTTTTGTGTTTATTTTGGTTCTACTATTCAGAAGACAGGCCTATTTCCCTGGGACATGTGGTGTTGTGGACACCTTACCTTCTCAATGATATTAGAATCATCCTTTTGTGCCCTCTTTGTGGAAACTGTGTCCTCCAATCAGACAATGCTTGGTCCTCTCTCTACCAGTGCTTCATTCATTGTTCTTTACTCATTCTTGATATAGTTCTCTTCATGTCTCCCTATTTTTTCTATTTATTGATATTTATTTCCCTCAGTATCTTGCTGCATTTGTACTTACTTCTCTTCATATTTATCAGTTTCCCAGGCTCAGCAGGGTCTAGTGTGAAACAGAGGAGGTACCCAGGAGTCAAGGAGGTACTGAGACAGAGCTCCTCCTGATGTGTGTCCCAGGGTCTCCCTGCCTCATCCTAGACCTGGCCCTGGTGGCCCACTTGATTTTTCACTGTTTTCATTCTTTATTATGTTTCTTATTTTATCATATCCTATTTCTGTTTCTTAATCATTTTTGTTACCCATGTATGCCTCTTCTATATCAATTTTGTCATTTTTATATTTTCTTCATTTATGACACTCTAGTCATCACAGTCTCCCCTGTGCCTTTACTCACAATGTGGGGTCCCTCCACTTGCCAGTTCCCCTCCACACTCATCAGAGTCAGCCACTCTGTCTACCTGCTGGCTCAGACTCTTGGGTACATTGTTCATTTGCTTGTTGGCTTTCTAGTGCATTGCTGTTGTCACAGACTATATGTTTTCTCTTCATATTTATCTGTTATGTTTCAGAGAGGTGCTCTGAGAGTCCATTTTCAAGTGTGGCTGTGGCTAAACCACAATTTGATTCATAGATATTTTATTTGCTCTCTGTATCAATCAGAGTCCCACAGGAAAATACAAAGCTTTATAAGCTTTTAGAGCAGAGGGAACTTAATCCAAGGAATTAGTAATACAGTTCATGGAAGAGCTAAGAAGTCTAAATGGAAGAATGCAGCAACTCAAAATGGTCAACAGGAAGCTAAGGGAGGGGCATTAGCCATAGCCTTTTCCACTCCTGTGCATGTCACAGTCAACTGTCCCTGAAGTGTGAGACTCTTGGACACATTCATTTGGTGGTTTGTTATGCATTATTTGGGTTATAATGTCATTGCCTCCTACCTACCACCGCACCCCACACACACTCATTGAATCCCTTCTCTGCTCACTACTAGTCACAGTTCCTTCCTCTCAATCTTCCCGGTTCCCACCAGCAACACTACTGACGAACTGCTAAGAGTATAGATTGGCACGTGTTTAGATGCATGTTAAATGTTACTTTTCTGTCTAACGCAACTTGCTAAAAGTGTGGTGATACTTTTAAAAATCACTTTGCAAGATATTCTTCTTTTATAAAAATGTGATACTTTAGAACATTGTATATTAAATACCACACCCCACAGAAGACACAGATTATGCCTTCCATGGTGCAAGAAGTTCCCGGCATCTCCGCCATGTCACTCATTTGCAAAGTAGAGTCAGTGAATAAAGACATAAAATTTATTATACACTAGTGTGAATAAGGTGAAGAACCTGTGTCCCTCAATTTATTTTCCTGGGCCTGAGGTTGGTATGGCTTTAATCACTGCTCCACAGCCTAGGGGATAATTAAATTCACCAGGGACATGAGTGAGAAGGAAAAATTTCAGTTTACTGCAGTGGTTAATAGCTTAGACTCTGGCCCAGATACAAATGATAATTATCTTTAAACATAGTAATATTTTAAAATGTGTGTAACACTGACGAAGTACCAGGCATGGTTGTGAATGTGTTATGATATAACTTGTTTAAAATCCATCATCCATCACACTATGAGGGAGGTACTATTATCTCCTCCATTTTATGAATGAAGACACTGAGGGACAAAGAGAGGAAGTTACTTCCCCAAGGTCTCAGAGCAGAACTGGCAGCCAGCTGTGGGTCACCAGTCCTCCTGCTATGACACTGTCCCATGGCAGAATTCAATTCCCAGTTTCAGTGGCTGACTTGCACAATTAGCTCAAGTCCTCAAGCTGATTCTTTGTTCTCTGAAAAATCCAGATGACATACCATCATTTTAAGTGTTTGAGAAGGTTAAATAAAATATTGTCTGTATTACTATAAGTGATAGGGTGACTGACCAGAAAACTAACTTTTCATGATTCATGTCTTAAATTTATCATATTTTAAATGGTTTAATAACTTTAGTAAGTGTGTTATAGACTGAGGAAATGTTCAGTTATGAACAGTGGTTATTGGTTGTTAAAGTATCAAATGTGTGTTCAGAGGCCCATCTGGTATTTTTGACCAGCATCTGGCCTGCTGTGCTGGGAATAATGGGAGATGGTTTGCACAGGATGTACATGGTGCTGTGTAAAGGATTCAACAAATGAGGGACTCTTCCCCCAAGGAACACAGTCATCACCGCTGACCTCTCTCCTGCAATGCTGGTCACCACTGGATGTAACGTCGAATAGCTGAGGCCACAGCCTATTTCAAGCAAGAGATGCAGAGGTCAAGAAGCCAGGTACATGGATATTAGGTCCCAGAGCTGTCAACAGTTGGCAGCAAGCACATGTGAGAATGAGAAGACCAATCCTCCCAGGCAACTCAGTGTATGAAGACTGCTCTGTAAATCTTTGGAGACATAGCACATGCCAAGATGGACAATTCTGAGCACTCCATACTAAAGAGAAGCAGCCCTCCCACCACAGCCTATTGCAGAAAGGGACAAGAAGAGCAAAGGACCACAAAAAAAGCCAGAAGGAACAGACCTGTGTAATTGGACTGATCCAGGAAGAGCCAGGAAGGGCTTGGATATAAGTTTTCACCAGTTCCTGAAGGAAGAAATTAGAACTTTATTTCAGAATTGAAGTGTGGTCTGTGCAATTCTCCTCCAGTCCCAATGTTAATCTTTACAATGTAGGACTTGACAACCCCTTCCCCCAGGAATCAACCCAGAGTTGCACTTCTGGCCTCAGTCAGATCATCTCACTATGTCATCAATGAGCCACTTGGTAACTAGTGATGGCTTGTCTTGTCAGCCACAGCCACAAGGAACCTGTTTTAGTCCCTAGTACTACCCCAGACTGGTGGTCTTACCAGACTCCCCACCCCCTTTCACACATACTCTGCTTCTGCAGGTCTGTTCACTCTGCTTTGTGGGCCTTTTCATGATTTTCCTTCACTTCCTCCAGCTCTTGGTATTCTTTCTGTATCTTTCTTTTGGCATGTATTTCCCTGTTTGTCTCAAGTGTCTGTCATTTCCATGAGATTACCTGGGCATGTACAGGGTTTAGAGCATGAGCTCTGGGTTCAGAAGGTCTGGGTTCATCCTGCTCATTTGACCCTAAGCCAACTATATACATGGTCTCTAGATTTCAATCTTCTTTTCTGCAAATGATCAGATAATGACACCACTCACCAATGGCATCCGTGAGCACTAAGCCCACAACTTCCAGAGAAAATGTTCAATGAGTGAGCTCTTAATAATATGTTTTTTTAATCCTTTACGCCTTCCTCCTGTCTTTCTTTTCTTTTCTTTCTCTCTCTCAAAATACCCCCATCCCCTCCTTCACATCTCATCATTTCCTCTTTTCTCTTTCTCTATAATTGCCTGTCTCTTTCAATGTTCTTGCTCTTGAACAATGTCTCTGATAGTTAATCAGTTCCTTATTCTGCCATCATTAAGGGTCTGCTCTTTGATGTTGACCTTGGACCCATAATTCTTAGCCCTACTCAGCTTCACACTGATCTTCTCCTGTATGGGTCTTTCTAAATCACAATTACTTCCAGGTCAGCATGGTCTTTAACTCTAGTTTACTCATACTCTGAGTTCCTGTCCCATTTTATTGGTTATTGGGTCAAAGGTCTCTTGTCACAGCTAATTCAGATTCATCCCTGGTCAGATTATCATATAAGAACCCCTCCCTGACGTCTCCTGGATCCTCAGCAGTTCTTCACTGATTCTCGAAATCCACTCAGGACTCAGGGCCCACTCACTTCTCTTTCTCTTTTAATCTTAAGAAAATCAGTTTTTGCTTGGTCACAATCACCTTGTTCAAGACTCAGCTGGATATTATGGTTTTTTGCACTCTTTCCTCCTTCATTTGCTTGGTAACGAATTTCCTTTAGGATCACTGAAGAGAGAGAGAAGATATTAGAAATCCCCATCATATCCCAGGACATCATTTCAAGTGTGCATGTTTAGGAATTTTCAGTCTTCTGGTCACTCAGAACTCAGTGAGTGCCAGTCCTCATGGTCAAGTTCAGCATTATCCCTGGGACAGAAAGGAGATTCCTCCAACAAGGGAGCCCTTACATTTCCCACATAGAAAGAAGCCATTTGAATGTGAGGATAAAGGAGTCATGGAAACATTATTTATGTAAAAAAAATTTACAGATGTCTGGAAAAGCATGTATCAAATAAGTAATGGAAATGAAATGTATTTTTCTGATGTGCTCAAATTGGAAGAAAAAAAAAACAGGAATATCCTTGGGAGAAGAACCAAGATCCTGTAGAGATCCATGTGTATAAAAAGAGAAAGCGCAAGAACTTTTAAGTGAATGGAAGCACTTTTAAATGAATGCGGGTCAAGATAAGGGTGGAGTTTTTTGGGTAGGAGAATGAGCACTTCTCAAAGACACAGCAGAGGACACAGGAAGAGCTAGAAAGACTTCCAAGTGACCCAGATCCCTGGACAAAGGAAGGACACTCTCTGAAAATACCAGCAGGGAGTGAATATTGTGGCACTGGAGGACATCCCAAGAAGCCTGGACCATGGCCCAGGAAGCTTCCAAAAAGCAATGCCTAGTTTACCAGCCAAGGGCCCCTGCATGTAGGTGACTCAGAAAAATAACAGGAAGGAAACAAACCAAGAAATTCAAGGTTGGTATCTGTAGGGCATCGAGGCAGGAGGAGTCTAGGAAAGATGTGGGTCCATTCTTCCCAGCTCTGATGGCAAGTCAGTCTCCTGGAGCAATAAGCTTGTACTTATAAACTTGTAAGGCTATAGTATCTCTTTAATGTGCAACAAGTAAACTGAAAATTCCTTAGCTCAAATGTCTAACCTTCCAAAATCTTTTTCAAATTTATCCCTTTTGAATCAACTCCCATGATCTGCTTCTCACTTTCCAATTGAGAGAAATATAATTTCTCCTTGTTTTGCAGATACTAGGGATGCTTTCACACTCTATACCATGTCCCAGAACATCTACTCTCCTAAGTTCATATAATTCTTTCTCCTATGAATTCTCCATTGGTATTTAGAGATCCTGGTTGATACCAGACAGTGGTAATATTTTTCCAGCAAGACAAAAACCAAAAGTATTGAAGGAACTAAATATAACCAGGGACAACTGCCCCCAAATTATTGGAGGTACAGTTTCAACCACAAATTCAGACTACAATGAAAAATTGTAAATTGTGAGTCTCAGGAAAACAGTGGTGAATCAATCATTTGGTGAAGTATCAATCATAGTTTCTGGCAGAGCAATTGACTTTGAAATTCTTTGATTAATGTTTGTCTCACCCTGAGTGGAGAAAGAGCTAACATAACCATTATCCTTGCTTAAGGACAAATTTGACCTGGGTTAATTTTCTTGCTCATTACTCCAGACACCTGATGAAGGTTGTCTCTCTTTTCTGTATTACCAGATTAACGCTGGGTTTTGACCCATGACTGGACTCATAAGGACTCTATGTAAACTATAAGCTATAGCAGGTCTTCCTTCAATGTGGTGACTCTTGTAACTCAGTTGTCTCTCATGGGGTACCTGAAAGTAATGACTATATAGGTGTTACATGAGACATTGGGTCCCCTGGTCATGGTGCTATTGAAGCCAGGCAGATCCTGCACCCACAACTAAGCTGTCACTCAAGATGGGTAGTGGTCAACTTGATGGACTGCTGTGTGGCACATGCAAAAAGGGCAGCAACTAATGGTGCCTCACTCAGATGTAGTGGTTCTTGTCATTTGTTCTTCCAAGTAAATCTGATGCAACTGGGAATCTGTTCTGGGAGTTTAAATCAATGCCTAGTTAAGCAGACCTTCAAGTGCATGTTTTGCTGGACTCATTATACCAAAAATTCTGAGAAGTCTCATGATATGTCTGTTTTCTTAAATGCTGTATTGTCACTGACAAGCATCACGTGTGACACATGGTAGATGCTCAGTATATATTTGCCAAAAATAAATTGGACATTGAAAGGTAGACTATAAATCTAATTACCATTGCTGAAGCCTTTGCGAATGTCATTTAAATCTGGGTAGTTCTTCATAATGACCTTGCTGAACAAGATTTCCAGAAGTGACATGTAATATTCCTCTTCCACTTCACTGAGAACATCATACACCACTTTCAGTACAGGTTTCAGGTCTTCAGAAGATTTTCTAGACTCCTTGAAAACCATGGGGAATAATGGGGAAAATATAAATAAAGAATTCCAAATTACAGAAGAGCCTTGGAAGTAATTTTATTTTTAATGTGTTGCATTTTCCCTACATAGATATTTTCTCATGTTCAGTTTTAGAATTTCCCTATGTTTGATGGCTATTAAGTGAAATAAGTAAACTTTTCTTCCTAGAAATACCCATTTGTGAATCTCATGCCCTCACTCTCATTTACATTACATGGAAGGAAGAACAATTTTGAAGACCAAAAATGGGTTCAAAGTTAAATAATGGGTAGCCCTTTCAGAACCTGGCCCAATCTTTTAACAATCAACTTAGCAGATGGGCTGATGTTCCATTGACTTGACAGCCCTGTCCCTTCTGCAGGAATGAATTAGTCTGCAAGGGATCTGGTAAGCTAGGTGGTGGTTTTCCCTTTCCTGTGAGCTTTGCCATGAATTAAGCCTATTCATAGGGAGAGAGAAGACTTGTATCTCTATATCTTCCCCTACATCTTTTGCTAAAATTAACCTAAATTCCAAGATTCCAGCAATACCGAAAGAAAACTTAAAACTGTTGAAAACAAAATAACACGCATCTACTTTCAAATTTGTGCTGACAAGACATTAATTCCCTGTGGATTTTAATGTTCTCAAATCTAAGTATTTAAATTGATGTTCATTGAAATAAAATGCTGTGTAAATTAGCCTATTAAATTAATTCATTAAATTTATTTATCCATTCAATAAAATTACTTTGAATTACTAATTTATGCTAGATTGTATATATAACTCCTTCAAGATATTATATTGTATATTTGTGGAGCCCACAGGCTTCAAATCCAGCAGAGCTCCAGTGTTATTCACTTCAACACTAGGGGGACCATGGATCACTGTTCCCCCATTCAGAAGGAAGACTGTCTCCAATGATACTGGCTTCTTTTCTCCCTTTTTACATTACAGAAACACTTAGAGCAGTAGTGTTTCCACTCAGAGCAGACCCCTCATTTCCCTAGTGGAGCCCTGAAATTTGATTCTGAATCAAAACATATCTAATTTGGGGCTGCTTTTCCAGATTGTGACATAATAAACTCACTTACTTGGTACTTTTCTTCAGTGATCAATCCACAGTCACGAAGATTCTCAAGGAAAGGAAATGTTCTTTGTATTGCATGTGAAATCTCGACTTTACGTTCCTTGAAGAGTTTGACTGCAATCTCACGCATAAGTCTGTGGGCTTCTGCAGACATCCTAGGGAGAAAGGATACCATGATGAAATGGTCATCAAGATTTGAGATGATTGTGGTGGGTTTAACATTTTATATATGAAGGATAGAATGTGAAGAACCAACATGTATAGAAACAGTGGCCTTGACTAGAGGTGAGGATAAATGGAATTGATGCAGTCAACAAATACATAATATAGGAAGCCTGGAGGATCAGCAAGACATAGAGATTATTGAAAATGTCCAGACTATTCAAATCAAAGACATTGTAAACATATCTTCTCCTAAATGTATCTGTAATATTTTTTATTAAAAAATTCTATTCAACATAGTATTGGAAGTTCTAGCCACAGCAATGAGAAACATCAGAGAAATAAAAGACATATAATGGCAAAGAAAGAATGAAAACTTTTGTTATTGGCACATGACAAGCATTACATTAGAAAATTCTAAAAACACGACCAAAAAACTATTAGAAATAATAAGTCATGTCAATGCAGTTGAAGGACATGAAATCTATACACAGAAATCTGGTTTGTTTCTATAAAAAATGATCATAAGAAGAGATTAAAAACAACCCCTTTACAACTACATCAAAAAAATAAAATAGCAGCCATGTGCCAGTTGGGAATGTAAAATGACAGAGTAGCTAAGCGCAGCGATTGGTACTGAGTCTCTGGGCTGACTTTGGCTGGGGTGTCTGCAGCAGCAGTTATTGCTGATCAAAGAGTGCCTAGAGTAGTTGGACAAGATGCTAAATATCAAAATCTTGAGCGACAGCTCCCATCAGGACTTGTCCCAAAAAATTGCTGATTGCCTGGGCCTAGAGCTGGGCAAGGTGGTGACTAAGAAATTCAGCAACCAGGAGACATGCATTGAAATTGGTGAAAGTGTACATGAAGAGGATGTCTACATTGTTCAGAGTGGCTGTGGTGAAATTAACAACAATCTAATGGAGCTTTTGATCATGGTTAATGTCTATAAGATTGTTTCAGCTAGCTGGGTTACTGCAGCCATCCAGTGCTTTACTTATGCCTGGCAGGATAAGAGAGATAAGAGCCAGGCTCCAGTCTCAGCCAAGCTTGTTGCAAATATGCTCTCTAAAGCAGGTGCAGGATCATATTATCTCCATGGACCTTCATGCTTCTCAAATTCAGGGTTTTTTTGATATCCCTGTGGACAATGTGTATGCAGAGCCAGCTGTCCTGAAGTGGATAGAGAACATATCTGAGTAAGAACTACATTATTGTCTCAGCTGATGCTGGGAGAGCTAAGAGAATTACCTCTATTGCAGACCAGTTGAATGTTGACTTCACCTTGATTCACAAAGCACAGAAGAAAGCCAGTGAAGTGGACCACATGGTGCTGGTGAAAGAGGTGAAGGATCAGGTGGCCATTCTAGTGGATGATATGGCTGACACTTGTGGCACAATCTGCCATGCAACCGACAAACTTCTTTCAGCTGGAGCCACCAGCATTTATGCTATCTTGATTCATGGAATCTTTTCTGGCCTGGTCATCTCTCACATTAACAATGCATGCTTTGAAGCAGTAGTGGTCACCAATACCATACCTCAGGAGGATAAGATGAAGCATTGCTCTAAAATACAGGAGATCGACATCTCCATGATCCTTGCAAAAGCCATCAGGAGCACTCACAATGGGGAATCTGTTTCCTACCTGTTTAGCCATGTCCCTTTTAAATAGGATAACTTCTGAGGCTTGTTTTTTAAAAATGAATAAAATACATGGGGATAAATTTAACCAAAGAAGTGAAATAATTTTTTTCTGAAAATTGTAAGACATGATGAAAGATGCTGATGATACAAATAAATGAAAAAATATACCATACTCGTGAATTGGAAAGATTAATATTGTTAAAATGTTTTTTACTACCTGAAGTAATATACAGATTCAGTGCAATCTCTATTAAAATACATTCTTCTAAGAATTAAAACTAATCCAAAAATTTATATCAGTCCAAAGACCCCAAAAAGCCAAAAAAAAATCTCAAGAAGGGACAAAGTAAGAAGTATCACAGGCCCTGATATCAAACTATACTACAAAGCTATAATAATCAAAACAGTATAGACTGGCAATGAACAAGTACAAGAATGAATGGAATAGCGTAGAGAGCCCAGAAATAAATCCCCACTTACATGGCTAATTAATCTAAGCCAAAGAAGGCAAAGATATACAATGGGGTAAAGAGAGTCTCCTTAATAAGTGGTGTTGGCAAAATTGGACAGATACATGTATAAAAATTAAAAATTTATAATTCTCTTACACTATATACAAAATAAAATAGATTGAAGACTTAGCTATCATACTAGAAACCAAAAACTTGTAGAAGAAATTATAGACAGTAAACCTTTTAACGTCACTCTTAGCAACATCTTTTTGCATATATCTCTTCAAACAAGGGAAATAAAGAAATGGGACTACATCAAACTAAACAGTCCTTTTCACAGACAAGGAAACCATTAACAAAATGAAAAGACAACCTCCTGAATGAAAGAAGACATTTGCAAATGATACATCTGATAAAGAACTAATATTTAAAATACATCGAGAACTCATACAAGTTAATAACACCAAAGAAACAAACAATCCAATTTATAAATGAGGAAAGAATCTTTTAAAAGCTATTTTCCTAAAGAGTACACACATATGGGGAACAGACAAGAAAAGGGTCTCAACAACATCAACCATAATAGAAATGTAAATTCAAACCACAGGGAGCTATCACCTCGCACTTGCTATAATGGCTATCATCAATAAGTCAACATGTATGCAAGTCCTAGCCAGGGTACAGAGGAAATGAAACTCTTGCAATCTGTTAGTGGAATTGTAAAATAGTGCAATGATTATGAGAAGCAATATGGAGACTCCTAAAAAAATTAAAAATAAAGCTGCCATATGATTCAGCAATTCCCCTTCTTAGCATTTATCTAAAGAAAATAACACTCATTGAAAAGATGTATGTTATTCCTATGTTCATTGCAGCATTACTAGTAACAGCTATGAAAGCAATCTAGATGTCCTTCAATAGATAAGTGGGTAAAGAAGTTGTGACATATGTGCATATAATGATACATATATATACAATGGAGTATTATTCACCAATAAAAACGAATAAAATCTTGCCTTTGTGAAAACATGGATGGATGTAGAGTGTATTATACTAAGTGAATTAAGTCAGACAGAGAAAAACAGATACTGTATGATATCATTCATAGGTGAAATACATTAAACAAAATAAATGAATAAACAAACAAAACAGGGTCCTCGAATGTACACAAGCCCACTGACCCAAGAATCAGCACCAGAAGGACCCAATTTGCTTGTGGATAGTGGAGGAAGTGACTGAAAGTCAGCTCAGAGCTGAGCAACAGCTGATTTTCTGGGACTCCTTCCACACAGACAGTGCTACAATGCAGCAATGTGGGATGCAGCAATGTGGGTTGCACCACCCCAGTGAATACCTAAGGCTCCACCCCTTACTACATAATAGGCATGCCTACACCAAAAAAAAAATGGCCCAAATTAAAGAACAGATCATAGCTCCAGAAAAAAATACAACTAAGCAAAGAAGAGATAGCCAACCTATCAGATGCACAATTCAAAACATTGGTAATCAGGATGCTCACAGAATTGGTTGAGTATGGTTTCAAAATAGAGGAAAAAGTGAAGGCTATAAAAAGTGAATTAAAGGAAAATGTACAGGGAACCAACAGTGACAGGAAGGAAAGCAGGACTCAAACCAATGATGTGGACAAGAAGAAAGAAATAAATAGTCAATCAGAACAGAATGAAGGAACAAGAATTCAAAAAAATTAGGAGAGGCTTAGGAACTCCCAGGACAACTTTAGATGTTCCAACATACGACATTTAACATGCGATGTCTCCTTCTGACAACATAGGGGTGCCAGAAGGAGAAGAGGAAGAGCAAGTAATCAAAACTTATTTGAAAAAAATAATGAAGGACAACTTCCCTAATCTGGCAAAGGAAATAGACTTTCAGGAAGTCCAGGAAGCCCTCAGAGTCCCAAACAAGTTGGACTCAAAGAAGCACACACCAAGGCACATAATAATTACATTACCCAAGTTTAAAGATAATGAGAGAATCTTAAAAGCAGCAAAAGAAAAGGAGACAGTTACCTATAAAGGAGTTCCCATAAGACTATCAGCTGATTTATCAAAAGAAACATTGCAAGCACGAAGGGTTTGGAAGTATTCAAAGTCATGAAAGGCAAGGACCTACACCCAAGCTTACTTTATCTAGCAAAGCTCTCCTTTAGAATGGAAGGTCAGATAAAGTGCTTCCCAGATAAGGTCAAGTTCAAGGAGTTCATCATTACCAAGTCCTTATTATATGAAATGTTAAATGTTATATGACTTATCTAAAAAAATGAAGATGATCAAAACTATGAACAGTAAAATGACAACAAATTTGCAACTATCAACAACCAAACCTAGAAAAACAAAAACAAACTAAGCAAACAACTAGAACAGGAAGAGAATCACAGAAATGGAAATTACATGAAGGTTTAGGAGGGAGGAAGGGGAGGCAGGAAATGGGGGGAAAGTTACAGAGAATAAGAAGCATGAATGGTAGGTAGAAAATAGACAGAAAGAGGATAAGAATAGTATAGAGAATGTAGAAACCGAAGAACTTATATGTACAACTCATAGACACAAACTAAGGGGTGGGGGAAATACGGGTGGGAGGGGGTTTGCAGGGTAGAGAGGAATAAAGGGGGGGGAAATGAGACAACTGTAATAGCATAATCAATAAAATATATTTTAATATATAAATAAATAAATAAAAAACAGTGATACCATTATCACTATATATATACACACGCTATATATACACACATACACATACATATGTATATATTAGCTAATGCATTAGGACAAGAAAAAGCATTCAATGGTAAAACACTAAAATAAGATAAAACATTATATGATATAAGAGTATAGATGGAGAAACAATACAGACCTAACTAAATTTCCTGACTGGAAAAAGAATTTTCCAAGAAGCATGAATTTTTAAAAGGTACAGAAAATTAACAAATTTTATTTGCAGCAACGTACACTGAAAAGAAATAAAATAATGCTCAAACACACTCATATATTTATAAACATCTAAAAGTTCTGAACCTGTATGAAAGAAGCTATAATGTTTTACTGAAGAAAATTAAACAAGATCTAAATAAATGGAGATTAGAAGGTGCCTCCAACTAGAAAAACAAAAATTTTACATCTCACTCTTTCTGAAATTATTGTAAAAGGGTGGTGCACTTGCAATTTGTAATCCAATTGAAACTGAATAATGAAATTTAAACACTTATATGACAAAAGAAATACCTGAATCAAGCAAAGAGAAGCATAAAAAAGAAATTATGTAGGGGAAGACAATGGGTTTAAATGTTAGAAATACAGTAAGATATTAAAAGAATATAAAAAATATTTTCAGCACGTAGGTCTAAGGGTTAATGCATCTGATATGCAAAGATTCCAGCCTATTGACAAAAAAAATGACATATAATCCCAAAGAAAATGGACCTGAACAGTCACTTACAGAAAAGAAAATACAGTGGTTCTGCCACTAAGAAGGCAATTTGGTAGAATCTATAAACAATTAAATATTAGGACCACTTGCCTCAACAAATATAACTTCTGGCTTTTAACTCAAGACAAATACTTATATATATGCAAAAACATAAAGAAATATATGATATTTTGTTATGTAAATATATTATATCAATGATACATATATCATTATTATTGCAATTTGTTGGTAGCACTAAGCAATTAAAAATTATTTAAATTGAACAAATTTTTAAATTATGGTATATTGATTCCATGGATTAGTATGCAGCTTTAATAAGAATGAGGTGGACCCATAGGTTTATTAATGTGAAAAGGCGCCTCTAAAAATTTTAATATTAAAAATTCCAAAATGTAAAATCCAGAATATTATGTACAACATAATCTCATTTATTTAAAATTAGATAGAAATTATGCATTTAGGAAAACAAGTTATATGTGTAAATGCATAGAAGAGACATAAAAGGCTGTGCCCACAATACTCAGCAGGACCAGGACTGGTAACTGCAGGGGGTAGGTGATGAATAGGACTGCTTCCCTCTGTATACATCCCTGTCATTTGGAATTTTATGACCAAAAATGTATAATGTATTTTTGTATTAAAAAAATCAAACAGTAAAGCATATTAAGTAATGTTATTTCTGGCCCATTAGTAAAGGTAGGATTTCTAGCCTTTTCCTTGTCAGAGGTAGAATCCACCCAGAGCAGAAAATCAAAGTACAAATGAAACACTCAGCCTACACTGGTCTTTGGCATTTTGGTACTTCCTCTTCCTCTGACTTCCTTAGATCAAGATCCCTGGAGGAAGAACCAGACCTCCAGCCTGAGACCAGAGTAGGCCTTGTGCTGACCCATCCCTAGGTCAAGTAGGAGACCAGGGCACCCAGATATGAAAAGTCGGGGGCTTACCCTGGATTTTATATTTTCTAAAGTACTTTCTCTGAAATGACCTAGATGAAGGTAGAAGGGGCCTAGAGGAAGTAGAAGACACTGAGGTCATGAGTGAATAACGAATCGCCCTCTCAAAACCTCAGGAAGCACAACCCACTCAAGACGGCTCCACGGCGAAGCAGTAGGTGTAAGACAAGAGTCCGGGGGGCTGTGGCAGCTGTGCTCACATCAGTGGCTGTCCTTCTGAAGTTTAAAGATGCGATTTTCTCACTACATATTCCTGCATTCCACTACACTGCGCATGAGTGTACATGTGAAGCAGGACTAAGTTCAAGGTTTAGCCAAGAGTCTAATGACAGGCACTAAAGCAGCAGCACAGCCAGAGAGGAAGGGAAGGTAGACAAAGACTGACCTGGTGCTGAGATCACTGCTCCCGCTGGCCATCGTCCTGCCCTGGGCCCTGACAGGTCCTCGGATCCTTTCTGAGTCCCCAGCCTGGTTTTAGTGTGGCTGTCCAACCCTAAGCAAGAATTTTGTGAATTCACTCAGCCAGGGAGAGCTCCACCCAAATGGGGGAAATAAAAGTGAAAGTAAATTTTCGAGTGTTATCTCCTTCCTCTGGCAGCCCCACGATAGTTTTTAGCAGTTAGGACCTGAGGCAACAGAAATGGAGTTCAAAGAGACCCTCAGGACCTGGAGGCCAGGAGGGGACCTCCAGGAGGACTCCAGTCCTCAGGAGACCCCTTGTTTGTGCAAAAACAACACAAAATTCTGTGAATTTTTTCCCTGTCCATAGCTGCTCCAGCTTTCTGAGAGGGTGCAGGAGAACAGAGTTAGGTCTTTGTGTTCAGACACAGGGCTAGAGAAACAGCATTCTTTTTTTCTTTTATCAGCATTCTTTTCTTTTATTTTAATCATTGTTCAAGTACAGTTTTCTGTCTTTTATTCCCATCCCAACCCACCCACTCAGCCCTCCCCACCTCCCTCCCATTTCCACACCCCCTAGTTTTTTTCCATGTGTCCCTTCTACATGTTCCTGTAAACCTTTCCCCCTTTCCCTTGAAAATTCCCCTGAAATTCTTTCCCCTTTCCCCCCTGGTCACTGACAGATTGTTCTTAATTTCAATGTCTCTGGTTATATTTTGCTTGCTTGTTTGTTTTGTTGTTTAGTTTCCTGTTAAAGTTGAGATCATATGGTATTTGTCTTTCACTGCCTGGCTTATTTCACTCAGCATAATGCTTTCCAATTCCATCCATGCTTTTGCAAAGGGTAGGAGCTCCTTCTTTCTACTGTGTAGAATTCCACTGTGTAAATGTACCATAGTTTTTGGATCCATTCATTTATTGATGGGCACCTAGGTTGCTTCCAGCACTTGGCTATTGTAAATTGTGCTGCTATGAGCATTGGGGTGCATAGGTTCTTTTAGATTGGTGTTTCAGGGTTCTTAGGATATAATCCTAGTAGTGGAATTGCTGGGTCAAAAGGCATTTCCATTTTTAGTTTTCTGAGGAAATTCCACACTGTTTTCCATAGTGGTTGTACCAGTCTGCAATCCCACCAACAGTGAACTAGGGTCCCTTTTTCTCCACAACCTCTCCAACACTTGTTGTTTGTTGCTTTGTTTATGATGGCCATTCTGACTGGAGAAACACCATTCTTACAGCGATGGTTTCCACATTTGTTCCCTGAGTCTGACTTCCTCTAGCTGCACCTAAGGGTTCTCACCCAATTACATTTAAGATACAGGGGAAGGGTCTACCTACTCTCCACCGTTGTTCTTTCTTTTCTCCCAAAGGATACTGGAAACATCTCATTTTGGCTGCTTGTGAGATTTCAATTCCCTGCAGAGTTATCCTGCCTTTGTTCACTATCCTAAAGACTAAAGCATTGTTCTCTAAATATTGCCCAGAGTCTTCAAAAGTATGGCTTGTTGGGGACTCACATCTGCAGATCAGAAGCCGAACTCTGTCCTAGCCTGTAAGCAGCAGACCAGCCCTGCCACTCCCAGGCCCAGCCCTCTTCTGGCTTCTGGAGACTGTGGTGGGTCCAGTGCCTTCAAACCCACTGCCCATCAAGAAGGAGAGATGCTGCTGTGCTGAACATCGAGGCACATATTTGTTAGAAGACACACAAGCCAACTCAGATACACTTTGTACTTCTGTGTTTACAGGAGCACAAACACACACCTGTTTAGAGTGGTCTTCTTTCATAAGCAAAATAATAAACAAATGATATGCCTGGAGAAAAAAACATGGATTACCACAGAATTTCTGCTGGAATTAATACTTACAAACCATCTATACATATGAGACATATAAGTTGTTGCCAAAAAGCTTAAGAATATATAATATATGCAAGGTCTGTCCAGATAAAATCCAGCCAGCGTTGGATTTTTATCCAACTAAAACAAGAACAGTTTGCGTGACATCAATGCAACCTGGCAGCCAAAGAGAGTGGACTGGAATGCACATGTGTGAACAATGATGACTTTACTGTACTAGTCAGTGGGGACAGTAGATATCATTGAGTGAGCATGTGTACTGTGTGGCTGTCACATTCAAAATGACTGAGAAAGTACAGCAATGAATCTGCATCAAATTTTGTGTTAAGCTTGAAAATTCCTCCATGGAAACTATTCAGATGATTCAGGAGGCCACAGTTATGTACACTGGTGATTGGCAGCTTCATCACAGCAATGCTCCAGCTCATGCATCATCTCTTGTGCAGAATATTTTCGAGAAACATCAAATCACCCAGGTGATTCAGTCCCCCTACAGCCCAAATGTGGTGCACTGTGACTTCTGTTTTTCCCAACACTAAAATCACCTTTGAAAGAGAAGAGATTTCTGACCATCAGTCAGATTGAGGAAATATGACAGAGCCCCTGATGGTGGTTGGATGAACCTTGTGAGGTCCCAAGGTGCCTACTTTGAAGGGGACTGAGGCATTGTCCTCTGTATAATGTTTCTTGTATGCTATATCTTCAATAAATGTCTCTACTTTTCATATTACATGGCTGGATAGTTTCTAGACAGACATCGTAGGTGTACTGTTGTTATTGTTAAAGGAGAAGACTGAGTTATGGTTGTTGAATCTGCATTTTGTTTCAGAACTTATATGCAACCATCTTTCCAAGAGATTTGGGCTCAGTCTTCCCTCTGCCTCCTTCCTGCTCTAAATTCCTTGTGCAATAGGAGAAAGAGCACCCAACTGTATGTAGTTGAGAGTTAAGGTTATGCTTTTACAATGTTAATTATATGCCTCTTATTTTAGCTTGAAGAACATCCTTTAGCATTTTTTAAAAGGCAGTTCTAGTGTGATGAACTCCCTCTGCTTTTGTTTATTTGGGAAAGTCTATTTTTTCTTTATTTCTGAAGGACTGCTTTGCTGGCTACTAATCTTGGTTAACAGGTTTTTTTTAATTTCAATATTTTGAATATATCACCCCACTTTTTCATTACCTGCAAACTATGTGTTCAGCAATTTTTTGGTAGTCTAATGGGGGGCTCCACTTTATGTGACAAGTCACTTTTCTCTTGCTGCTTTCAAAATTCTCTTTGTATTTGTATTTTGACAATTTGCTTATAAAGTATGTCAGTGTAGCCCTATTCAGATTTAACCTATTGGGTCCCTTCAGCTTTAAAAATATGAATGTTCATTTCTCTCCCCAAATTTGGAAGTTTTCAATCATCATTGCTTGAGATAGACTTTCTGCCCTTTTCTTTTTCTTTTCACCTTCTAGGAGTACCGTGATGCTTATATATTTTCCTTGATGTCTCCTAAGTCCTGTGGGCATTCTTCACTCATTTCATTCTTTCTTCACTTTTCTGTCTAGATAATTTCAAATACTTGTACTTTAGTTCACTGATTTTTTTTTCTTCTACTTGATGGACTCTACTGTTGAAGCTCTCTATTGAGAATTCCTTACCACAGCTTTTGTCTTCTTTAGTTCTGGATTGTCTGTTTGACTTTTTCATAGCTTCTTTTTCTTTGTTGAACTCTATTTTTGTTCATGTATGGTTACCTTATTTAATTTAGTCATCTGTGTGTTCTTGTAGTTCACTTAAACTCTCTGAGAGGATAATCCTGAACTTTTTTGTTAGACAGTTTATAGATCTTCATTTTTATAGTGACAATTATTAGAACTTATTAGTTTCCTTAGGTGGTTTCATGTCTGCCTGATTCTTCATAATTTTTTAAAGATTTTATTTATTTTTTTTAAAGAGGGGAAGGGAAGGAGAAAGAGGGAGAGAAACATCAATGTGTGGTTGCCTCTCACATGCCCCATACTGGAGACCTGGCCCACAACCCAGTCATGTGCCCTGGCTGGGAATCAAACCCACAACCCTTTTGTTCACAGTCCAGCACTCAATCCACTGAGTGCTGGAATTATGAAGAACTCAATCCACTGGTTCTTCATAATTCTTGGTTCCATGTGTTGGTATCAGCACATTTGAGTAAGCACTCTTTTCTTCCACAATTTATAGCTTCACTTCATCAGGGAAAGACCTTCATCAGTCAGCTCAGGTACTAGATGGAAGAGCTGGTAGTGTTTATATGCAGGTGAGGCATATTAGAAGCATCTCCATTGTCCAAGGACACTTCCATACTCTGAGGTTGAGGGGTAGATGCTGGTTGAACTTTGAGGTTGGTTGGGCTCCCTGACTGAGTAGCACTACTAGGTGTGCACTGCATTCAGAGTGGCTCACTTGCCTGGCTCTGAAATCACCTCTTGTCTGGTGAGGCTACCATGATGGAGCCACTGGTTAGACTCTATGATTGAGCAATGCTACAGGGTGGACCCTGCAATAGTTCCTGTTTTGATGAAGTTTCAAGCTATGCTCCTTGGCCTAATTTTAACGTAGGCTGTGCTCCATGTTTAGGAGGGGCCACACACAGGACTTCACTGCCAGATCTGACCTCATACTGTGGTCTGTTATAAGGCACAGCAGAAACCTGTTCCCTGAATTAAGAAGGACCATGGGTTGGTAACACAGCTAGGCTGCTTGCTGTGTTCTGCTGTTCAGCATGGTTTGGCCACACTGAGTTTGGGGTGGATCTCCAGCTATATCCTGCAGTTGGTAGGGCTAGTGACTCCATTGTAGGGCAAGATTAACCAGGCTCCCTCATTGGGTGGGGCTTAAGCTAGGCTTTATAAGTGAGTGAACTCACTGGCAAGGCTGCTGTATCAGTGAGGCCATGGGTTGTTTTGGCAATTGGGCAGGGCCATATGCTGGGCTCTGTTGTTGGGCAGAGCTATAGACTGGGCTCCATGGCTCATCAGCATAATAGTCTTGTCCCTTTAGCTTCTGAGTTCCCTGGCCAAACTCACTGAATGGCCAGGCCTGGGAGCTACTTTCAATAGATGAGCAGAGTTGGAAAATGGCTGTACCACTTGGGTGGGGTAGTGGAATGAGCTTCATAGATGCTATTACCTGACTGGGGATACAAATCAGGTAGAACTGCTAACCAAGTTTCCTGGCCATATGGGACCCACTGTCTCAGCTCTGCAGAAGAGCAGAGCCACTAGCTGGGATATCTGCTCAGGCACCACTACAAGCAGGAATGTGGCCCACCAAGGTCTAGTACTGGTTGCCGTAAGCCCCACACCTGCTTAAGTTTCTATTAGTCATCCTATAGACACGAATCATCTTGCTTTTCCAGAAGCCAATCTACTGAATCAATGAAGATGTAATGGGGATTATTGCTCATGCATATTTAAATATTTGCACGTGGCTCTACTCTCTGTCATTCCATCCTTCTCCAGGAACATGATATTGCTTTCAAATTATTATTTTTACCATAGAAAACATTATTTTCAGGGTCTTCTTCTTGACCTTTCCTGAAATAGCCATTGCTGTTCTGTAGGTTAATGAATGATAGGATAAAGAACCAGTTTGGTTAACAACTATGTGAGCCCTGGTTATACATATGGGATCTTAGGAAATGACAGCTGAGTGGCTCCATGGATTGAGTGGACTCACTGTAGATGAATATTACCTAACTCCATACACTCCACTCTAACTGGGGTCATGATGGTGCTTTGGGTCTGTAGGTATTAGGTTCAGTTCAGATACTATATCAACAAAACTTAATAATTGGTTATATATTTTTTCTCTTCTTTTCATTTTTTGGGAGGTCTGGTACATGGTTACTTGAATAAATGGCCATCAGTGAAGCACTCAGTGAAGAACTCAGGGAAGCACTACTATGAACATTTGCTCATTTCTGTCATCAGGTTCTCAGTCCAAAAATTGCTCAGGCCTGGAAACTGAGCATAACATTTTGACTTTCTATTGGTATAGCTGACATCAGCCACCTACTTAATATTGATTATATATATTCTTGTGACTGTACTTCTATCTTGTCTTAACAAAACCATGTCCTATTAGCTATCTCCACAGATATCCATGGGCCACCACCCCTGGTCTTATTCTCACCTTGCAGCTTACAACAGAAATTGCTTCATTTAGCTCTGCAAGTTAAATTCTGCCACATGATTCTATTATTCTTAAATATAATTGTTTTATTTACTACCAGGGAATCCAATTGTGTGAAACACTCCTGCATTATTTTAACCTACAGATGAGAACCTGCTGAGCATCACAAGGATGCTGGTGCCCCCTCAGCAGTGTGTTTCTTGTTACCTTGTTCCTTTAGTGTCTCTGAGGCCTCCTGAGGACACACTCACATGACGGGTGGGTTTTCCCAGTTGTGGAGTGTAGAGCCATGCCATCTTCCCTATGACTTTGGATCGCCCTTTTCCATAGTCAGCCCTGGAAAGTCAGGTATCTCTTCTTCTACTTCGTCTAGTATGCACCTTGCCTTAGTGTAAGCAGGCCTCTAAGATACAAGGGGAAAACACAAAGGCCCTCCACCTTGTTCTATCCAGCTCAGCACCTTGTTTCTACCTGGTGGCAGTGCCAAACTCTTGCTTAACTGTTAAGGAGTACTTACATTTATACAGTCCTCACATTACATTCGGCCCTTTGAAGGCACCTGTGAGGTTGATGTGGCCCCTGGTGAAAATGAGTTTGACACCCCTGCTCTAAGAGCTCCCTAGGAGCATAATAGAATCATCACTTTGGTCTTTTACAGGTCAGTTATACTCTGACACAGGGGAGTGCACCTGTATCAACAATATTTCCTTTTCAATTTCATATTCCCCTTTTTTCCAGAAATCCACTCCCAGAATCCACTCCCAGACTCAATCCCCTGGTGCCTGCAGGTATATGTTGGTCAGCCTGGAGTTCCATTGAATAGAAACCCTCTCCTCACCTAGTCACCCCACCAACGACTCACCCACTGAGTCATGCTGGAAGGACTCTGCATATTTTTTATTCAAGTAAGGAGGGAGGCTGGGTAGGGGGGGGTCTGTCTTCTAACAAGGGGCAGGAGATTCTTCTGCAGACCAGTGGATGTAGGGGACCTGGAGTTCGGAGTTCTCATGTAAAACTACCTAGAAATCCCCATTCTGAACTTTAGGGCTCACTCCTATATAAGAGTCTTGATTTTGGCACAAGAGGCCAAACTGAGCCTAGAATTCAACCCTCTCTAAAGTTTTGCACTCTTAAAATTAGAACCTGTCTCAGGCCTTTCCTACGGTCTGCCTTTCAGCTGCAGGCATGAGCATCTCTTTGCTTTAGGTGGTTACTGTAGATTTAAGCCTGTCATGTACTCTTTTCAAGACACTTGTCACACTCACCAATAGCCACCAAAATCCACAGTTCTCATTGCTACTATTTCTCCCTTTGTAAATGCCAGAGAATTGTACCAGCTAGGCCCTCTTCCCCTCGGCTCATCCAGTTTCCTACTGGTGAACTTTAGTGAGTGAAACTGTTGTAACACCCAAGGACTATCAGTATTCTGCCTGTCACTTCCTGGCTAGACAGTGATCCAAACCACAAACCCCATCCTTAGGACCTGCTTGCTAGGACTATTATCTTGTGATCCCTTGAAAAAGAGCCTGAGATGAAGTCCTTTCAGTAAATGATTTATTTTCAGAATTCTCTCAGGAGAAGGAGCAGTAAGGGAAGCAGGATAGCATGGTAGAAAGCTAAGCAAGAAGCTGGCCACAGCTGGGACTAGGTGCATCCTGAGCCCAGTGGGGAGCATGAATCATGCCACTCAGAGGAGCACTGGCAGCCAACCCCCACAGCAGCCATGAAATGAGAAGTGGGCCCCCAAAGAGGATTTTCCGAACTACCAGCAGCATCCACTATAGCGCCGAACTGCTCTCATTTGTTTCCTGAATAGCAAACACTTCCTTGAAAATCTTCTCAAATTCCGCCTCCAGTCTAAGGCCCATTAGGCCAAAGTCATTGTACTGGGGGGAAAAAAAAGATAAATACAACAAAAGTAATGGCACTCATCCTAGTGTTTGGAAACACCACATTCAAGAATCATTGCTGTAAACACCGAAGTTACATTAACCAGGTTAAGGAAAAAACTCACGTGGTTAAGAGTAACTTCTGTGTCCAAGTGCACAATTAATTCATGTTAACTAGGCAAAAGTGGGAAATGATGACCACACATGGGGACTCATTTTTTTATTATTGTTTCATAAGCTTCCAGAGCTGTTTGTTTATTTTTTATTCTTCTTTAACCTATTATCTTCCTTATTGGCTCAGGTTGTTTATTTTAGTAACAGAAGACTAATAATACATGTTCTTTGCAACAATCCAATATTAAATACAACCAGGGACCTTCATTATACATTGTCATGTTGTTCCCCGCTGATGACCACTGTTAACTATATGGACATTCACTGCAAAGGACTCTGCAGGTTGGGATCTCTGAGAGGTCTGACTGAGTACATTTGAGGAGAGATGAGGACAACAACATGATTTTAAGGCACAATCTTTTCCTGAGATTTGGAGCAGGGAAGACATGACTGTTCCCAATGGGCACCTGTCACCTTTTCCTAGAAGAATGAGCTCTCAGGGGCCTGGAGTTCTGGTAGCAGAGACACCTTCTGACTCACTGTTACTCTCCCTCGTGAGCTTAAATCTTGAATTTAAAAACGTACTCGCTTCCTGAATGAACCCTTGCTTATATAGCTTTTCATGAGATGAGAGAAACTCTAAAATTTCCCAGCACCAGGAAATGAGGGCAGAGTAAGTCTATGGAAAGAAAATTAAACTGAAGCAGGACAGACACTTACCTTGTATGATGCCCTGTGGTTCTGAAAGATGAGGCGCATGTCCTGCACAAACCCCTCCACTTTGGAGTAACACTTCTTACTTAGCCTCTTCTTGATTTTGTCCAACCACATAGGTTCCTTGAGGTTTTGAGAAACTTCTTTAATCTAGTGGAGGAAAATATCATTGAGAGAATTACCGGCATAGTTCACTGTCTGCCTTCTGTGAATTCCCATCACACCAAACAGAAATCCAAGGTGAACATAAAGACAGCTTGTGTCTCCCTCCCAGGGGCTTCAGATCACAAAGCCCACAACAGCCTGTGTCAAGGTCAGGTAACAACATAGCAGCCTGTATTCATGGTTTGTTATTGTTACTCACATAGTAATAATATGGGATCTTCGCAAAAAATGAGCTCTCTGAGTGGCAATATACTTTCAACAGCAGGAACTCACATTTCTACAAAAGAAGGAAGATATGAATGAAAAGCAACTTGGAGAAAATGAGCCCATATATACCAGTCTTCTGGAAATTTCCCCAAACAGCTTTCATTCTAGGAAACAGTCATGTAATGGCTGAATGGTTTTTTCCTGCAAACAGTTTCTGGGGAGTTTTCAGAGTGGGTGAGGTGTGGTCAGAGGAATGGCTGTGCTTTTATACCCTTCCTCTCATCCTGCAACTGTTTGACTTCTCACATTGAGCATAAAGGAGAAGGCTTGGCTTTTGGATTTGACTCACCAGCTGCTCCTCAGGCCCCATTGGCCTTGCCAGGACCTCAGATTCCCTGACGCACTGCTGACTTCCTGAAGACTCCTTCATCCTGCAGAAGATGCAACTCCACGGGCTCCTAGAAGGTCAAGAAAAGTGAGCAAGACCAAGTCTCAGAAACAGGCACCATTCTTATGGCTGCCATGGTTCTCCTTTCAGGAACGGTTGATGGGCACAGCAGGGAGATGAAGGGAACACCTCCCAGAGACTGTAAGACCCCCATGAGCAGCGGTCTGAGCTGATGACCTTGTATCCATCAAGAATAAAAGATGGGGTTGAGTGTGGGGGGCGCTGTGTCTGGGTGAGTGGTGAGATTGACTCCCCCCAACTGAGCTACTGGAAGCACAAGAAGCCCTGAACCCAAGGCCTGAGTGTTAGAGACAGGACCTTAACTTAACCCACGTGGGGACCTTAGGCCTTCATCAGCCAGTTGGGAAGGTGGTAAATTGGGGAAACAAGGCCATGTTTTCTGCCTTTTCTGGATAAGCACAAAACAGAAGCAACTGGCACTTCCACTCCTGTAAACAGTAGTCTGTGCTGGGAAAGTTCTGGAAAGGACAGTAGCATTATGAAGGCTAAGGATGCAGCCACTGGTCTCAGCCTCCCAGGGGAGAGAGGGAACATTACCCTCCTGCTGCCAGCATCTTTCAACAGCTCCCAGATCATACTGCTGGACTTGCACATCCAGCATATTCTGTCCCCATCAAGTCACAAGGAGGAGCCCAGCAGGGTGAGTGTGCGTGGCAGAAGGAAGGGTCTATAAAAGGAGACAGGGGGCTGCATCTCACAAACCTCTCAGTCTCCACAGGAGGGAAGTGACAGTGCTCATGAAAGGATCTGGAACAAGTATCACAGCAGAAGAGCGTTCCTCCATCAAGGCAGATCTCGCATATGTCTGAGTTTCCCACCTGGAAGGTAAAACATATCCACATCCCCAAGGGCCCCTGACCACCAGTGCTGTGGGAATTTAGAACACATGGCCTTTGTGAGAACCTGCAGGGATGCTTATGTGTTTCTCTGAGCTGTGAAGAGACAGAATAGAGTGGATTTTTAGAAGAATTTTTGGTCTGCAGTGAATTTCAGGAGGAGTGGCTGTACGCCAGACCAGAGAAGTTTTGCGTATAAAACCAGAGATCCTAACACAGAAAAGCAGGCAGAAAAGGATGATGATCTAATGGGAATCTGAATAATGTGATTACCATGCAGATAAAATCAGCTCCTGAAATACTGTTAAATCTATTTGTCTACACCACAATAGCATAATTTATTGGGTAGGCAGTGGAAATAGGAGATGTACTGAGAATTTGATAAGAAAGAAAAGACTTCTTAATGTAGAAAGTAATAAAAGATGAAAAGATAATAATTTACAATTAATTTGAGTCTTTTTGTGGGGTTTTTTAGATTTTATTTTTATTTATTTATTTATCTTTAGAGGGGAGGGGAAGGAGAGAGGGAAAGAAACATCAATGTATGGTTGCCTTTCATGGGTCCCCTGCTGGGAACTGGCCTTCAGGGAACCAGCCTGCAACCCCTACATGTGCCCTGACTGGGAATCGAACTGCAATTGTCTGGTTCACAGGCCCATGCTCAATCCACTGAGCTACACCAGCCAGGGCTTTTTTGTGGGTTTTTTATTGAAAATAGTTGGGTTGGCTGAATTGGGATTCTGGCCATTTCTTTTGTTATCAAAAATGGTCATGTATGAGGGAATGTAGCCCCAAAAATATCCTGCAAAGAGCTCCCATTCAGTGTCCTGGAGGTCCTGACACACATCCCCAGTGGGCTCTGAGATGCTCTATCAGCCAGACTTGGCCAATATTTCTTCCTGCAAGTACAGACATTCACAGACTACCAGCATCATTCTCCAAAACTGATGACCCTTCTCTCCAAAAAACAACAAAAGAGAAAAAATGACAAACATGACCAGTGTTTAAGAATCTACCTACAGAATAATCTTTACAGGTGTGTGTCTCTGTGGATCTTTGCCCAGCTACACTATAGAATCTTTCAAGGAGAGTGTATAAGCTATTAGTGTCCTAGTCTTGATACCAGAGATTCTGAATCACCTGGTCTGGGTGGGGTACAGGCATTGATATTCTTCATGGAGTCATAAAAGGGGTAATTTTGTATATTAGAATCATCCAGGGACTTTTAAATAATCCTAATGTACAAGTCATACCACAGGTTGATTAAAACAGATTTCCTGTAAAGGATAATCTAGGCCTCCAGATGACTCCACTGTGCAACTAAGTGGAGACTTAGACTGAGCAGAGTCTGGTAAGGCAGGGGGCTATTCTAAGTCGATGTTGAATTGGCCTGTAATGTCGATTCCAGGAAAGAGACTGACAGGAATTCAGGTCGGTCTCTTGCCATCTCCTCCTTCTTCGGCCCTGGGCAGTGGGACCTAGTCCTCTAATGTCTACACCCACCCAAAATAAGCCTCACAAACACTGGACCCCAGGGCTGTTGAGATAATTGAAGATTCCCTAGGTTTGCTGAAGGTCAGAATCCATGGGGATAATATCAACATCCTATCAGGGGATTATTTGGAGGTAAAATTTATGAAGAACTATTTGACTGTCCCTCCTTCACTATGGATGTATTCTATCACTATTATGGCATCACATCCTATGGAGTGCTGTCCCCTGGAGTTGTGCAAAGGTGATTCTGTTTAAAATGTGCATAATCTTGTCACAATGAAAGAAATCAATGTATGATTTTGTTTAGACAATGGAATCTTCCTTGGATTTGGCAGACCCCAAAGCAGGCAGCCATATGGTATCAGTGTGAGTAAAGATGCCCAGATTTGCTAAGTGGTGGTGGTTTTATTCCTAACCTCCAGCTCAGCACCTTGATGGTTCCCTTGAGGGTGGATACCAGGCCCCAGTAAAGGACACAGCTACCCTGTATGCATGTCTCAGTGGGACTCATCACTGCAAGTGCATCTTGAACTTGGCTGCGTGGTCTGGCCAGTTACTTCTGCCTGATGCATGAAACCATCTTAGCTCTGCCTGCAAAGAGTGGTGAATACTTGGCATTTTCCTTTCTTCCCTTCTGCTTTCTTAAAAATGCTGCTAACCTATCAAATTTGCACCTTACCTCTAATCTGCAAGCCTGCCTTGTCTATTTCTACTTCAAGTCCTGTCTCTAAGGAATGCAGTGGACTAGAGTTCTGCCTCCCATACTAACAGGGAATCAAGAAGGTTTCCACCAAACAAATGCAAAGGATGCTTTAATGCTGAGACACCCAACTCCAGAACCATCTACCTGACATTGGTGATGCGTTTCCTATTGTCTGCTCAAAATACACAACGACATATTCCAACTGAGTGTGAACACACTGCAGAGAAAGGTGACCATGAGACAGGTAAAATACCAAGGGAAAAGGCCTAGATTAATTGGGGGCTATACATGGGATTTAGTACTTACACACGGGTCATCTAAGATACTGCTGTGAGACTTTGATATTCCCCGCTGAAAAAGGAGAAAGATTGAGTGACAATAATGAATGGGATGTTTGCATCCATCATTTATTTAAACAGTCATTTTTTGAGGGATTCAGTTCACAATCTATCCATTATTTCATACTTACTTTTGTGGACCTATATATATATGAAGAGAATTAAAAGTGCCAAAGTAGCACTGTTTGGCCCAATCTAGTTATGTGCCCTGGTTCTCAGACCCAAGATGGGCCTTTGTGAAGTCATGCAGGGAGAGTGGCCCAGCTTTCACAGATGTAACTGGAGGAATTCTTCTGGTTCTCCCACTTTGAAGGGCCCTCAAGCTTTCTTCTCTATATCCCACCACAGTAGCTGCAATGAGAGTATCAAGCTGAGGACTCATCATCCACAGCCTCCAGCAACCACAGAGCCCAGATTCCTGCAATCCTAGCCTGTGTCCCAAGAAAGAATTCCGTCACCCTCTGAAGCTCTTCTAGGGTATAGCTTCAAAGACAAAATGTGTTCAAGGACTGTAGTGTTGCCTTCTTCCAGAATGTCACCCACTTCTCCTCTCCTTTCAAACCCCAAGATGTCAGCTGAGTGGCATTTTAGAGGTAACTGACTGCCACCCACTAGTGCACATTCAGTAGAATGGTTTCCCCTCTAGATCCAGACAGACTCTGCCTTCCTCTCCAGTGCAGGGCACAGTGGTCATAGACAAGTGTGATCCACTGAACAATCGCCTGAGAGGTGACCATGTCACTGCCCACCTCCTTGTGTGGCCTAGATTCCCCCAGACCTACCCATTAGTCATTCTTCCATATTTGACAATAAAGTTGAAAAATCCTTGAGGTCAAGGATATTGTTTGAATCTTCTTTAATGGATATTGGGCATTTAGTATTTCTTGAGCAAACATTAACATACAATAAATGATTGTTCTTGAGGAATATATTATTTCACAAAACATAAGCTGTCACCAGAAGGTGTGAGAGGTGCTTGTGAGGGGCCAGGAAGTTGTCACATAGGGACATCAGGCAATGTATAGACCTGGACCTCACAATCTCAGTGGAAGATGAAGTCCCATTGGCTAGCTCTATGGGGCCTATCTTAGAATGATTCTGAGAATGTCTTGGATGGCCATTTCTACCTGAAGTATATAGGAAGGGTATTTCTTTCCTCTCTCACTACCTTAAGTTCTCATTCATACCCAGTCTTAGAAAAGCCATCACTTTGTCCTCTACCTGAACTTACATGATATATTTGTTTGTTGCCTTTATACCCTTCTTCCATAGAGGAAGAAACCACTTTCACAGATTGAAAGAAGGCCTGACCAGGTCTTCTGCTGGAGCCAAAGGGGCGGCATCAAAGTAAACAATTTTCCAGGCCAGGCCAGGCACTCCCATGTACATGGATCTCCCAAAAGCTTACTCCCATAGGCAGTATCCTCATGAATGGCAAATAGTTTCTCCCCAGAAAAGAATTCTGCATGTCTCTGCGCACATTTTACTGGAAGGTGTAAGAGGATGTAAATTATCAGAAGAGAAACCTGTATTTTTGCTGCCTATCTCATGAAATGCGTATGGTTTCACCCGTGCCCCAAGATAGACAAGCTACTACACAGGGTCCATTTCAGTGATGGTGAACAAACTTTACTCCATCAGATTTCAATACAGTTAGAAAATAATAACCTTGATTTTAAAAATACCTAGGTTTGTGTTGAAGATGACCCTGTGACTTATTATGAAATTTCTCTATGTATTCCATAGTTATGTTTGCTTTTACAAATTTGACACCCTTACAACATCTGCATCTATAGCTAAAACTCATCTCTGAGATCTATTTTGATACCTCCTTATCATCTCTGTCTCACATGGTTTGCTCTTCAAAGAAGACTGCATACAATGTAATGTTCAAGGCAGTAACTCTGAAGGCAGTTGCAAAAAAGGATAATTATAATTATCCAACTGAGAAACCACAAAATATCATACTTTATATGTAAAACCAGTTATGTGTAAGAACTTGTAGAAAGTTATGTAATTATTACCTTTTTTCTCCCTCCATATGTTCTTGGAGGATTCCATAGAAATCCTTTCTGAAAAATAAAAATATCCAAGGATATGGTCAGCCTTGTTTCTTTGTGTGGGAATCTGGCATTTCTTACCTCCTCCCAAATATTTCTAACTTATGTCCCACTGTCTTCTCAAAACCCAGGTGTTAAATGAGACAGCATCTCCCTCTCCTCACATGTTCTTCTTCTAAAATTCATCCATGGAACCCAGAAAATCCTCTTTAGAACCATTTTCCTTGCTCTTGTGCTTTTTCTTAAGTTATCAGAGATTTTTCTTCACAATCTCTGTCTCACCTCTCACACTCTCTCCATTTCCATCAGTGCCACTCACACCTCCCTCCTCACACCAGGGCTATTCATTCAACTGATACACATGGGTCCCATACATACAGGGTGTCACACACTCTGGACAATGTTGGGCACATAATTATGGACAAACCTTATAGAGGTCTAGAGAGACTAAAGGAATGCACGGAAGGTTAAGAATCAAACTGTGAGAGGGGCCTCAATAGTGAGTTCAGGGGGCCCAGGGAAGGGGTGACCAGGGAAGGTCAGTCAGGGAACATTCAGACAGGAGTGACATGGGAGCTGAGCCTTGCAGGTTGACTATTGGTTTCTTGGGCTGAAAGACACTGAAGTCATTTCAAGGCCCCACATTGGCTGAGATACTATTTTAATATGTCATTTCACACCTCAGGAGACTCCTTGGTACTGCACTATGTTATGAGTTTAAACTCCTTATCCTGGCATAAATCTATCTGCAAACAACCCCAGTTGATGGATTATGCCATATCACACACAATCCTTCTACCTAAAACCACAGAGTCACATTCATTGTGGTTCTGGTTCTTACTCCACTCTTTGAAGGGCTTTCTGCCCACTTGTTTGACTGTAGACTCTTCTTTCTTTCCATACCTAAAGTTGTCTGCAAGCACCTGGGTCAGCATGACCTTTCCCTCCCTCAGGCCCCTGCATCCACCCAGACGAAGTCCCTTTGACAAGTGGATGTGCTGCTTTGTGCTGAGGTATGAGTGTGGGGTACGTCTTTGCAAAAGATAAACTCATGGGTTTGGGGCTTTAGCCATACCTCAGCATATATTTGGTGAGTAAATATTGACCTCAGGAAAATCACATCAAAGCCTCCTGTCACTAGAATACCTCCATTAGCCATCGTAGGGGTCTCCTGCCACAGTACAAACTCCTCTTCCAGTCCTTCCATCTTGCACGGCCTCCTTTGATTTCAAACTCTCTGGGGGTGAACCAATTGCCATCCTCACTCTGTATGCACTTCCTCATGACTCCTGTAAGACAAAGGTAAGTTGACCTTGGGCCTTCTGTCCTCACAGCTCAGATGCCAGCCTCTCAACACAATGAATTTGGAGTTGCCCTTGTTGGGGCTCAAGACCACTAGAGCAGGAGTGCCTGGCCTCCCCTCTCAGATATCAGAATCCTCAAACACAGCTGGTAAGTCCCCTCCAAAAAGATTACCAGTTTTGTACACACATTTCTTTGACTTTTTGCAAAAAAGAGAAATAATCATTACCAACAAAATCAATGTTATAAAAGTATTCCAAAGTCACCTAAAAGGAATCCTCCAAGAATCCTCTCTTTCTGAACAATGAGAAGATTTAAATTTGCTAGTGAGTTCTGGAGGCAAAGAACAGGCCAGACTGTCTGGGGCCCAGGGGCAGTGAGCAGGCAGAGCTTCAAGTTCGACTGAGGTGTCAGGTGGGGACCCTGTAGCTCATAATGGCACCATGGCCACATTGGTGCCCTCCCTTACAGCATGTTCCATCCAGTTTAATGGCATTACTGAGCAGTGATTTTTTTCTTCATTCCTGATTTCATGGATAGTCAGTAGTAAAAATAATTGTGAAATGTAGCCAGTGGAAAATTTAACTTATATATAAAAGATAGTCATATGCTAACCATTATTAGTCATTAAAGAAATGCAAATCACAACCATAATGAGGTCACTTCACAACTACTAGCATGGCCATCATTTAAAATATCAGACAATTACAAGTGTTGACCAGAAGAGAGAGAAATTGAAGCCCTCATACATTCATTATTGGTGGGAATATAAAATAGTGTGCCCACTGTGAAAAACATTTTGGTGTTTTATCAAATGTTAACCACAAACTTACCATATGAACAAGCAATTTCTCTCCTGGGTATACACCGAAGAGAATTAAAAAACATCTGTCAACTCAAATACTTTCACACAAATGCTCAAAAGAGCATTATTTGTAATCCCAAGAGTGCAAATAACCCACACTGATGAAGGGATAAACAAAATGAAGTGTATGCACACCATAGAATAGTATATTATTTGATAATGAAAAGGAATGAAGTACTAATACATGCTATTACATGGATGAACCTTGAAAACATCATGCTAAGGGAAAGAACAGTCACAAAACAGCTCACACTGTATGATTCCATTTATGTTAAATACCTAGAATAGGCTCGGCTGCTTCAGCCTGGGCAGTGGGGTGAGGTGGTAGTTGGCACTGACTACTGAGAGACCTGGGGTTTCCTTTAGTGGGGAACAAGGGATGTTCTAAAATTAGATCGTAAATTCACAATCCCGTGAACACACAAACAAAACCCAACAATGAATCATGCACTCTAAGTGGTGACTTGTATGATTTGTGAGTTATATCTCAGGAAAGCTGTTTAAATACTATACATCAATTATATAAATTAATTCTTTACCGATATACCATGAGGCATATGTTAATCATCATCTCTTTTTTTTATGAGGAATTTCAGAGTCAAGAGAAGTACCCTTTTTTACTCAGATGAATCAGTCACTCTTTGCGCAGCTGAGGCTAGGACTCAGGATTTCTAATTCTAAATTCTAAATTCTGTGATCTTCTCACTACTTCTAACACCCAGTTCTAGTAATAATGATCCAGAAAGGAGGAGATAGGAAGGCAGAGGCTGAGGGCCTCTTCCCATTTATTTCTGATTCACTTCTCGATTTGGTTCTTTGGGTATTTCCATGGTTACTTCCATGTGGTAGTGAGCACCTAATATGTATGGTGTGTTGAAGTATGAAAATATCATCTCAAGGTTCCCTTGCTCCCTCTCCCAAGTGAAAATACAACCTCAAGTCCTTGAATGTTGTGTAATTTATGTGAGTAATTCTGGACTTCTTGTCATTCCTTCACATAAGAGTTGCAAGTTAGATTATGAAACTCACCTTCTTTCAATCTCTTCCTATGCAACATCCCTTTCACATATCCACAGGTCACAGGAAGTATTTGAGAGCGAAAATCCACAGTGTTATCTCTGTGCTTTCTTGACCCTGAAACAGAAGCTTTCTTCAATCTGTATCATTTTGCAATTGCAAAATGTACCCCTCTCCTCATGTTGAATTTGTTCCTATAAAGTCATAGGGGTGCTTAAGAAACTTTATTCCACAAATCTCCAGAGTTTCAGGGTCCTTGTTTCAGTGACATTTTTGATAAATAACCACAGAATGTCTACCTTCATTTCACCTCTCATATCCCCCACAACCATCATGCTTTAGCAGAGACACCAGGTATTAGTACAACTGTCTTTGCTCCCCATGTAGTCAGCCTTCTGATTCTTATGTGACAGTGACACATGAAGCTGCCGCCCTGGTAGAAGGGAGCTCTTCAGCTGGGCTATTTCCCTGCACTTAGGTCACTGGAGACAAAGTCTGAGACTTTACTTGCCTCTTCCTGTGTGAGCTCTGATTTAGGAGCAGAGAGGACAGTGATGGGGTGACCTAATGGAGATGGTGTCTGCCTGCTCTTTGTGTTCACTGCTTTGCCTCAGTTCCCCTCAACATCAGTTTTCTCCAAAGTTGAAAGGGGTGCTCAGAAAGCTCCAGAACATCTGTAAATTGCATTTTTTGGTGGGTGGAGCTAGCTACCTGATTCCACTAAAGAGTGAAACACCTTCAAAATTAACTAACTCAAGAATGATGTGTACCTGATGCTGCCCTCTTAGTCATGTTATAGAGTCAGGGTGGGAGGAGAGGGCTGTCAGTACCAGGACAGACCAAGAAGGATGGTTGGCCTAATTCACTCTCCTTCTTTATAGGTGAGGAAACTGAGGCAAAAGTGGTTAAATGACTGACACAAGCCCAGAGAGCCAAGAGAAGGAAAGTCTTCTGACCAGTACTCTGGGTCACAGAAGAGTCAGCTAAATCATTTGTGGGCTTCTGTCCCATATATACCTTTTATATGGCAACAGTCTAGGCCCAACATGAAAGTTATCAGTTTGATGGAGACAGCAGCACCATAGTTCACCCTGAATCCCTGGGGTCTGGTTTAGATTTGTCACCAAGTAAATGATTTGTCAGATTATCTTCCTTCTGCCCCTGACACATTTTGAAAACAGACTAAGTCGTATGCTTTTCTTAACAGTCAATAAAGCTGCATGAAGCAATTAGGAAAAAGGATTTATTACTAAAAACACAGACTAGAGCACAAGAAATTAGATGAATAATTATTGAAAATATAATCCCTTACCTTTATTGCTTCTTGACAGGACTCTCTTCCTTAGGGCTCTGTTAGTACTATTTAAGTGGATTCTACATCTGCCTCTCTTTTTCCCTGACAAAAATGAGAAAAAATAATCACAGTTGTAGTCATGCCTTTTTTTAAAACAGATATTAGTGTTTTTCTAAACTTCCATTCAAATGTAACTTCCTCAAAGCCCGACTAAAGCATGAAGAACAATATATAATCCCTAGTCTTTAAACTACCAAGAATTAATCTTAGGCTCATCATTTATTTTATTTTTTCATAACCCTGCAACATTAAACAAACAAACAATTGAAATCAGCAGTTTACTTATATCCCAAGCAGCCATGTGATCTATGTTTAACAGATGCCAATCATATATCTACTAATGTCTTTATTGATAGTCTTTCAAAAAATACATGAGGTCAAGATGATAATTACTCCCATTGCAGAAACTAAAGTATTCTGAGAAAATTGAGGCAAAAACTACCAAAAAAGTAAAGACATTTAAGGATTCTTTTTGGTGAAGAGATAGGAAAAGAATAGAAATTTTGTGCACTAAGAAAAACCCTGTAGTGGGCTTGCAGGTGAGAAGCACATTATACACATTACCTTGAATAAATATATTTGTACATTTGTATAGAAAGTGATGTGAAAGTGAAGTAAATATGACCAAGGGCTTTGTCCACCTTGCTTTGAACAGATATTATAATCAGAGAATCTACCAGAAGATGACTAATCAAGAGAAATGGGTATGATTGAGTCTTACAAAACCTTAGTTTCAAGCAGTAACTAAGGACTGGCTTGATAGACGTTACAGAAGAGAATGTTCCTCTATTTCTAAGTTAATCGGCTATGACTACGCATCTCAATGCTTGCTATCACTGAAATGTGTCATTTTTTAATGAAAAATAGAGACATTTATTGAAGATACAAGATACAAGGAACATTGTACATAGGACAGTAACACCTCAGTCCCCTTCGAAGTAGGGACCTTGAAACCTCACATAGTTCTCTCAATCACCATCAGCTGCCCCATCATATTTTTCTGAATCTCAATGATGGTCTGAAATCTCTTCCAATTCAAAGATGATTTTAGTTTTGAGTAAAGTTAGAATTCACAGGGCACCAAATTTGGGCTATAAAAGGGCTGGGTCACCTGGGCGACTTGATGTTTCACCAAGAAACTGACCAAGATGTGATGCATCAGCAGGCATGTTGTCATCATGAAGCTGCCAACCACGACTTGCCTATAGCTGCAGCTTTCTGAATCATCTGAATAGTTTCCATGGAGGAATATTCAAGCTTAATGCAAAATTTGATGCATATTTCTACTAGCTCACTCATTTGGAATACGACAGCCACACAGTGCACATGCTCACTCAGTAGTGTCTACCGCCCCCACTGACTAGCACAGTGAAGTGTTCATTGTTCTTGTGCATTCCAGTCCACTCTCCATGGCTGCCAGGTTACACTAATGTCATGAAAACCATTCTTGTTATAGTAACAACAGCTAGACTTTTTCTGGACAGACTAATATATATATATTTGATAAGACACTCAAGTTCTATCACCTTGTTAGCAATAGAGCATCTATAGTACATGATAATATTTTATTTGTTTGTTTTTGTAGCATTACTCAGGATCAAAATACTGCATAACTCCATAGGTCACCAATCACATTATAGTTTATAAGTTTAAGTGATCAATACACAGCTATCTTTAGAGTCAACAGTCACAGGTAAAAGATTTTACCAAAAAAAAAAGTCCAGAAGGACTCCCAGTTACAAATGGGCTTTTTTTTAATCCCATACCCATGGGGATCACACTGCAGAAACAAATTTACTAAACTACTGAGGTGTCACATGTAGTCATTGTTGAATCTCTCCTAACTGGGACTGCAATAATGCTACCTGCTGTCGGGTAAGGGCCTTGTCACAGGTCTTGTAAGTCAGTCTATAACAGAGACTGGCCTGTTCAGTCTGAGGATGCTGAAAATGGCTAAGAAATTGTATGGATATGATAGTGACCTGGGCCACTGCTCAGGCCACGGTGTGAAACTCTAGTTCATTAAACCCTTTCTTCTCATCTAACCAAAAACTAATAATATCATGCACACTGCTTAGAGGATATAGGGAATAGCTTTTAAAGGGTTCTATTACTCCAGGGACAATATTCTTCAGGAAACATTTATTAAAGGTCTACAACATCCTCCAGTCAGAGATGCCCCAGAGAAGCATGACTAAGAGGTCCAAATTTTTAGACACAAACACAAATACTGGTCCTCATGTACAATGCTTGGAACAGATGTGGTAACAGACCCAATAATCAGATCCTTGGCACAATCCAAGCCAAAATTGTGAGACTTCACATTAATCATATAATCTTTCCCATTTGGTTGAAAAATGAATTCTACTGGACTTCTCAGTTTATAGTCCTCTGGCAATGTCTGAGTTGGAAGGCTATCTAGAATGCCCTTCAGGAGGTCCAGTAGTGACTGAAGACAGCCATCCTTCAGATTTTAATTAAACCCAAGGATAAATAGTCTCGTGAAATGCTGGCATTGTGAAAGGTGAGATTTTAGCACTTCTGAAAGACAGGTCCACCCTCATTGTTTCAGAAAAAAAGAATTCTTTAAACCACTACTAAAATTACAAAATGTCAGCAATCTGACTACATATATATACCCATGACTAACTTGATAATATATATCCTCCTAGGCCTTTCTCTTTGCATATGTTAGTATTCAAATAATATTTTTATTACAAAAGTTTAATGTGTTTACTATTTTTAATATACACACATATACCTACAAAGCACAAATAAAAATATAAATATCACCAATGACCAAATACAACTACTGCATATATTTTTATGGATGAACTGCCATTAATTTTTCTACATATCTATGTCTATACCACTGTATACAGAGAGATAGGCAAATATGTGTAAGCTAACATTTACTTATATAAAAACATATTTGCACAAATATATATGTTTATGTGTATATATTTTTACCACATGTACACATGCAGTCTGCTTTCCTCATGTGCCTTCTTTGGAACATCTTTCTAAATTAATTAATAAGTATTCTTGACTCAGTAAAGAAGCCATGTACTGAGGATGGTAGTGTCTCCCTATTAGCCTGGATCATTTAGCTCTGGGTGATTATGTGTGTAAGACATAAACAATTTTGTCAAAGCCACTCCATTTTCAGGCCTCTCAGTTACAGCATCTTAGCCTATATTCTACCTGACACAGGAGCAGGGAAACTGTCAGGGCCCACAAGTGACTGCAGGCCACAAGGGCACAAGAAGCACTGCCGTCCTAAACTCCAAAGGTGTGACTGCTTCACTTTGCCTGCTTACCTCTTTCATGTATGTTTCTCTGTTGCTTCCGTTTATATCTTGTCCAGAAATGCCCTTTCTTTTTTCCTTCAGAAAAGAAGAGAATAAATTAATTTTTCAATGTATAAAGGACCCATGGACAAAGTCAAAGTGGGGAAGGACTGAGGGTGGGAGATATGGGTGGGTGGTATGGGGGAAAAGTGGTTGAGGGAAAATGGAGACAACAGTACTTGAACAACAATAAAAATAAACAAATGAAGTTAATTATTCAGAGCAATAATTCTCAAAGCCCAATAGGTCAGTAGAGTTCAAGTATTTTTTTCAGAGCCTGATCCACAAAACCTGGCAAAATTCTTAACCACCAGTGTAGCAGTGAGGTTGATTATACAGTCATATTTTGCTGTGTACACACTTGGAAGACTATAGGAAATGACATTTCTTTGAAATTTTTTAAAAAACACATGTAAGAATGTGTTTATTTCTGGAACCTCTATGCTGTTTCATTGATCTTTGTGCTCGTTTTGGTGCTAGTACCATATTGTTTTGATTACGATAGCTTTGTAATACAGTTTGAAACCAGGGTACATTATACCTCCAACTTTGTTTTCTGCTTTCTCAAGATTGGTTGGCTATTCAAGGTCTTTTTGGTTTCATAAATTTTAGTATTATTCATTCTAGTTGTATGAGATACGCTATGGGTATTTTGATAAGAATTGCACTGAATCTGTAGATTGCTTGGGTAGAAACAGACACAAAATTTCATGGTCAATCAAATTATGACAATGGAGGCAAAAATATACAATTGGACAACTTCCGGCCAAGATGGAGGTATAGGTAGACACACTGTGCCTCCTCGAACAACCAAAATAAGGACAACCACAATTTAGAAACAAAATAACAACCAGAACTGACAGAAAATTTAACTGTATAAAAGTTGGACAACCAAGGAGATAAAGTAGACACATTCATCCAGACTGATAGGTGGGGCAAAGGTGGGCAGCCTGGCGGAGAGGGGTCATGGCACAAAAAGCAGTGGCACCAGGTGCGCAAGATGGCAGCAGGTGGACTGGGGTGCAGGCAGCAGATGGCAGACCCCGGGCATGGGGTGGCAACAGACAGACCCAGTGAGGCGGCAATTGTGAAGCTGGGCACTGCACGCAAGGCAGCTGGCTGAGCAGGCAGTCCCTGCATTCACATGCAGATAAACCAGGCAAAATTGGGGAGCAAGACAGACCACACAACCCATGGTCTCAGTGCAGGGAAATAGAGCCTCCAAACACTGATTGAAAACACCTGTGAGAGTTGAGGCACAGGAGGAGACTCCCAGCTTCACAGAATAGTTCATTGGAGAGACCCACGGGGTCCTAGAACATACACAAACCACTCACACAGTAATCAGGACCAGAAGGGCCCAGTTTGCTTGGGGGAAGCAGAAGAGTGGAGCAAGCGCCATTGTTCCCTCTCAGACCCTGCCCCCACAGACAGCGTCACAACCCAGCAAAGTGCATTGCCCCATCCTGGTGAACACCTAAGGTTCCACCCCTTACTATGTAACAAATGCATCAAGACAAAAAAAATGGCTGAAACAGAACAGATCAAAGCTACACAGCACATACTAGCCAATGAAGAGATAGCCAACCTATCAGATGCACAGTTCAAAGCACTGGTGATCAGGATGCTCACAGAATTGGTTGAATTTGGTCACAAATTAGATGAACAAATGAAAGCTAAACTAAGTGAAATGAAGAGAAGTGCACAGGGAACCAATAGTGATGGGAAGGAAACTGGGACTCAAATCAATGGAGTGGACCAGAGGGAAGAAAGAAACAAGGCAGACCAAATAGAAAAGAAGGAAGAAACAAGAATTTAAAAAATGAGGATAGCCTTAGAAACCTCCAGGACATCTTTAAACATTCCAACATCCAAATTATAGGGGTACCAGAAGGGGAAGAGAAAGAGCAACAAGTGGAAAAGTTACTTGAACAAATAATAAAGGAGAACTTCCCCAATCTGGTAAAGGAAATAGACTTCCAGGAAGTCCAGGAAGCTCAGAGAGTGCCAAAGAAGTGGGACCGAAGGAGGAACACACCAAAGCACATCATAATTACATCACCCAAGATTAAAATGAAAGAGAGAATTCTAGAAGCAGCAAGAGATAAGGAGACAGTCATCTACAAAGGAGTTCCCATCAGACTGTCAGCTGATTTCTCAAAAGAGACCTTACAGGCAAGAAGGGGCTGGAAAGAAGTATTCCAAGTCATGAAAACCAAAGACCTACAACCAAGATTGCTCTATCCAGCAAAACCTTCATTTAGAATGGAAGAACAGATAAAGTGCTTCTCAGATAAGGTCAAGTTAAAGGAGTTCATCATCACCAAGCCTTTATTATATGAAATGTTAAAGGGACTTATCTAAGAAAGAGAAGATAAATATAAACAGTGAAAGGACAGCAAACTCACAGTTATTAACAACCACACCTAAAACAAAAGCAAACTAAGCAAACAACTAGAACAGGAACAGAACCACAGAAATGGAGATCATATGGAAGGTTAGCAACAGGGGAGTGGAAAGAGGAGAGAGGGGGAAAAGGTACAGAAAATAAGTAGCATAGATGGTAGGTAGGAAATAGACAGGGGAGGGCAAGAATAGTATGGGAAATGTAGAAGCTAAAGAACTTATGACACATGGACATGAACTAAAGAGGGGGAATGTGGGTGGGAGAGGGTGTGCAGGGTGAAGGGGAATGAAGGGGGGAAATGGGACAACTATAGTAGCATAATCAATAAAATATATTTTAAAAAGAAAACTGAAGCAGATAGAAATAAAAAGATTTTATTTGTAGAAACTAACACCTTTAAAGAGAAGAACATATATATTTTTTTCTTTTTGTTCACTTCTGTGTAAACAGTAGTTGGATAAACAAGAAACAGAAACAAATACTATAGGGGTTCAGGGTAGAATGAAGGAGCAAAGTAGGCTCTGGAAGAAATGGGAGTTCAAGTTTTCAATGTCTATTTTTTATATAATCCAATTTTGGAACCATGTGATTATCAGTTTAAAAAGAAAATTTAAAAAAAAACCTGTCTACCAATAAACATACATCACTCTTTTATGTATGTTCAGCCAATGCTGAGATATTTTTGGATGTTTAGAAATGATAATTTCATAAATCTTAATATAGAGATGACTGCACAATGAAGAGAACGAAGAGCATGCAAAAGTATATATGTACAATTGGAAAAAACAGTACCCTCAATAAAAGGTGACAGAAAAACTGTATAGATACACGCAGAGGCAATTCTCTGTGACATTTCCACATATCTCAGAGTATCTTTTCAAAGCTATTTCAAGGCCTTTATTTCTTCCTGGAGACTGGGGGAGAAGCTATTTCCATGACTTTTCCAAATTCTACAATTAAACCATATATTCATTCATTTTCTCTATCTTCAAAGCCACCAATTTTGCGTTTTCTGCATTTCCCAAAGCCACTTCCCCATCTCTCCACAGCCAGAAACTGTTCTCCAGTTTTTAATGCCAATTGATTATATCAGTGGCATACAGACATCTAAAATAAACTCTCCTTTCCAGATCCCTATATCTGGATCTGGATATGTTATATGTTATATAATATGTTATATAACATAATATGTTATATAATAAACATATTTATTATATCTGTAAAATCCCTTTTGCCACAGAAGAAAATGCAGTACAGATCCCAGTGATTAAGATATGGACATTTTTGTGGGACCATCATATTATTTTCACTTATTATTATAATAATGAAACTCAGCATTAATAACTTTATTTTAACATCAAAAACAAGTAAAATCTTTTGCACTCTTACTTCTTTTCCTCCTGAGTTTTCCCAAAGTAGAGTTCTTTCCAATATTCACAGTATCTAGGAAAAGAGGTAGATATGAGGAAACAGAAGTTAATAGCTAAAAGTTACCAATCCTAGGATGATTCATACTATAGAAGGAGTGAGTTTAATTGTTTGTTTATCATTATTCTCTTTTCTTCTGAAGGAACTAAAAATCTCCTGAATTAAGAACTAGGAATCCAGAATGAGCCCTGGGTATTCCTTTTTTTGTTGGTTTGTTTGTTTGTTTGTTTGTTTCACTCAATGGAACTTTAAAAAATTCCTAAATACCTACTCATTTCAAGTTACTCACAGATAGGAATAGGTGCCCAATCCTGTTTAGATCTTAAAATTTTTGTGAGAATTAAATAACATCTTATGGCAAAAAAAATGATAATAAAATGCTACATAAATTAGACACACGCAGAGGATATCCATCAAAAATTTGTGCTGGGTTAAGAGTAATAGATTGGAAGTCTCCCCTACTGACAAGTAGCATGATCAGTTGTCTTTAAAGTCTTTGTAAGGTTGTGAAAAAATAATACTATTGTCTTACTAGGAGAAGTACCAGTACATCTTGTTTTCTTGGGTTCCATAGGTTTTCAGGTACGACAGCAATAGAAATAACTGCATAAATTAAGATGTCATTTCTAAGATAGTAATGCAGCAAACTAGATGTTGCCATTTTAAGTTGTATTTCTACAACATCTATATATAATCACAGCGCTCATCCTGTTGAACATGACTTTATAATTATCTCTTAACTCTCTGCTCTTCCTAAAGGGTCAGGTCAAGAAAAAGCAGAGAACAGCATAGTTAGATGGACTGGCCCTCCTGTCACACTCCACCTGGGGTCCTGGGTAACTATGGACCCGCCCTCATGCCACGACCTTCATGAAGCATCTTACCTTGACTCCTTTCAGTCCTTGGCTCCAGACCTCCTGGCACATCTTTTGAGAAGCACATAACGCAGGAACACTTCTCATTTCTATGTGCTGGTGGCTCTGATTCTGGGACAAAATCATAATTTATGAAAAGTCTTATCATATGCCCCAGTGACCCTATTTTTGGTATACTTGTGGATTTTGTTTTGCTACTTCTTCCTCTGAAATATAATATTAACCCTCTCTATATATGAGTCTTCCTTCAATTGTCCTTTTTTCTTCTCTTGTCTTTTTATCTTAACTCAGTTTCTTTAAAACATGTTTATCTCGTTCATCACAGGGTAGTAGGCTACAGGTAAGCTCTTCAGATTCTCCTTCTCTACTCATTTGGGGAGCTTCTAGTTCACAAGAAACTAAAGAGAAACAAGAAACTTACTGTCCACAAATCCTGAGACAGTGACTGGGGAAGAATTCCCGGTGCTCCTGTGTGGCACACTGATATTCTGAACTAAGGTGAACTGCATCCTGGGAAAAAGTATACCTGCTCCAATAATCCCACCTGGGCTCTGACAGAGGCATGTTATACTCATTGTTTGCACCCAATTCTACTTCCTCTACTTTTTTTTTCTATTTGTAGCCATGAGGATAAAATTTAAAAATTGTGTTTTTCCAGAAGAGAAACTAACTGTTCCTTGAAAATTATAAAAGTAGCCCTGGCTGGTATGGCTCAGTGAATTGAGCTCTGACCTGTGAACCAAAGGGTCACTAGTTCAATTCCCAGTCAGGACACATGCCTGGGTTGCAGGCTAGTTCCACAGTAGGGAACACATGAAAGGCAACCAGTGCTGTTTCTCTCTCTCTTGTTCTCCCTCCCTTCGCCTCTTTCTAAAAATAAATAAATAAAATATTTTATAAACAAAAAGAAAATTATAATATTAAATACCAAACCACTTTTAAATTCATCCCAATTGGTCAATGACTACTTATAACACCAACCACATTTAAAGTCAGCTAATCAGTTGCAGCCACTTCTCAAAATCAGCCAATCAGCAACAACCACATTTCAGAAAGCCTGCATCTATGGCTAAATTTAACCTGTTCAGAATCATTCCTGTCTCTGAAAGTCTGCAGTCCCTGAAACACATACTTCCCAATACTCTTTATAAAGTCATCAGTTTATGGGGTTTTTTTTACTGTGTTCAGTAATTACACTGTCTCCTCCCACCATGCACCTTGCTTAGTGAGCAATGGATCCTGCTTCTAGCTTCAGATATTGCATACCGGCTATCCCTTTAAAATGGAGTTCCCACCGAGATCATCTTGAAGACTTGCTGGAGTGTCCTGTGGGACCGTTGGACCAACAGGGATAATTCTCCAGCCTCTTGTGCCCACTTCAGATTATCTCCCTGATCCACTGCCAAGTGAACTATCTTAACAGCTGCTTGAGCTTTGGCGTGTTTCAAAAGTTGTTGTTCCTGAATTTTCTTATTAATTAAACATGTGTGTGCAGTCAGGTACAAAATAAACATATACTTGGGAAGTACACCATTTAGCAAATATTCCATGAATGTGCTTGTTCTTTTACTACTTCACTTAATCTCCCTCTGTTGTCTATTATAAAATGTCCTATATCTCACATGTTTGTTCCCCATTTTCCTGTGCTCCTTGAATGTTAGAAGAAAGTGTTCCAAAGCAAATGGATGGAGACATAGACTGGATATGACCCCTATATAAGCCAGCTGCAAAGACTAACTAATGGATTAGACAACAGCCAATTTTTGCAAAGGTATTTGGTCACAGTTAGTCATGAATTCCTCACCAAAATTTTTATGAAGGCACTTGGCATCTTTTCAATTTGTGAAAGAAAACCGTTTTGTTTAGCACATGACCTGAGGTCAAATATTACTATGTAATTGATCATTTGTTCCCTTTTTTGTCTCTGCTTGATGGATGAATTCCATGTTCCACTCACATGCAGGGGACCATTCACACTTATGACTGAATGCTGTGGCCTCTGCTGTTTGTCATGAGCCTGTCTTTGGCAAAGCTACAGTTCCCCGCCGCCCCCCCACCCCCCGCCCTGCAGAACTCCACTTCCTCTCTTTGCTCTCACTGCGATCCTAACTGTTATACATATCTTAATAAATGACAAAGCTTCACGGGTGATGGCTTTGGGTTTCAATGGGGAACTTGCGACACATCAAAAGTACAAAATTCACATCATAATATTTCCGTGAGAGAGTAAAATATCTACAAGTCCCCATTTCCCAATCACTAAACGTTACTTTCAGGCCATTATCTAAAAAAAAACACCTTTTCAGAGTTCAGAAGATGGCAGTGAAGTAGGTGGGACCTTAGCCCACTTATTCATGCACCCAACTGGGACACCTAGCCAATCTTAAAAAAAAACACTGTGAACAGACAACAGAATCTTATCTGATAAGAAGTTTGGAAGCCAAAGTGTGCAGAGGACTTCACAGCTGGTGGTAGAGAGGTTTTATAGGCTGATGAGGGGAGGCCCTCTGCCCCCCAACCTCCCACCCCCCAGGCCTGTTGCTGCCTTCAGAACATTGGAAGAGAGGCAAATGAGTGATAGCAGTCTAGTGGCTTCCTCCCCTCCCAGGGCAGGGAAAACCCAGACCCTCACCAGGAGACATCTGAAGGCATTAAGTGACTGGGTGGAGCAGGGGAGGCAGCAAGCACACACAGCTGGCTCTGCATCCAAGCTGGGGTGACAGTCACCAGCCTGGACGATGCCAGAGAATTTGGGGGGCCCTGGTGGCACTGGAGTTGGGAGAGGAGGTAGGCTTTGACTGGCTGTCACCCAAATACACTCTGACTTGCTGAAAAGTTGGAGTGTATGGGAGCCAGGCAGAGGCTCAGAGCCACAGCAGCACTGGCCAAAGAAACTTTTTCAAAAGGGCGCACCATGCAGAGACCTCTTGTGCCTTCACTGGCAAGCAGCCTGGCCAACAAAGAAGGAAGAGTGTGGCACAATTTGCTCCCACTCAGTGCATCTCATGAATTGATCAAAGGGGTGCAAAGCAAGGTGGCTTATCTGCTCCAGCCTGGTGCAACTGTGCAGAGTGGTGAGTGCAGGCCACACAGTGCTCTGGGGGTGTAGGCTGGAAACTGGGCACCTGTGATTATTGTAGCCCAGACTGAACGCTCATCCTTGCTGACCCACTGGAAAGGAAAAATAAAGCTGAGCCCTGCCTCTGCCAGCAGGAACCAGGATGATATGCAAAACTGGCTTGACAAGCTTTTTTTAAAAAAAATGTAAGACAGTAAGACCTGGAGCTGAGAGAAAACCAGAGACAGATCCAGAAAAAAGTCAGAAGGCAGACCGCAACAGCTGAGACAAATTTTACTTTGGTCTTCATCAGAACTCGTATTTTTTATTTCTCTTCCTTCTTTTCATTTTTAGTTTTATTTGTTTGTTTTTATTGTTTGTTTTGCTTTTTATTCTCCCTTTCATATTGCATTTTAATTTTTCTTCTTTCACTTCCCTCATATTCCAGATAACTCACTATTCTTGGTCTCTTACTTTTTATTCTTTTTATTCAGATTATATATTTCTAATCATGCCATTGTTATTCCAAATCCCACCTATTGCCCTTCCCTGGTGTTAATCCATTTTGCCATCTTCCTGAGCTTTATTATGGTCGGTATATACACTTTAATTTCTCTCATACTATGCCAAGTTTCTATCTCTTACTCTCATTATTTCTCCTCCATCTAACCTCACATAAGAGCTCTTCTTTCTTAAGTCAGTTCACATTCTTTTTCCCTCTTATGAGTCTTATTTCTTTTCTACCTTTTATCAACAGTGGCTAGTTGAGTGAGATATCATGGTTATTTCTGTACTTCTCCAAAGGAACTTCTATTTGTACATTATTTAAATCCCATAGAATACTTCCTGCTATCCTACTCCATTTTGCCTTCCCCCTGTCCTGATCAGTTGAGTGAAGAATTTTATTTCATTGCTCTCTCTCTCACTCTCGCGCTCTCTCTCTTTCCTTTTTTTTCTTTCACTCTCTCTCAACCTGGGTGTTACTCCTTACTCTTATTAGTTTTCTTCCACCATCCTTCCAAAATCATTTTTCTTTACTCTAGATATCTTAGTCACTTTTCACTTTGCTAAAATATTCTTATACCCATTTTACCTTTATTAAACTTCATTCAGCTGTCATTGCTATTGACCCCGCTGTGTTTTTCCACAATTCTGCTCCTGGTCATCCAGTGCTTTTTCAATTTTACTTCAAACCTCATAGTATACTTTCCCCTTTTCTTACCCCATTCTTTTCATCACCCTTTCATGTTTTATTTACATTTAAAATTGTTTTCTCTCCCTTTCTTCACCACAGCTCTATCCCAACTCATCAATTCTCCTTCCTCTTATCAATCAGTATGTTCCTCTCTTTTAGTCATCTCATATTCCCTTTGTCATATTTTATAATATCTGCAATCTCTCTTCACCTTTAATAATTTTCACTCAATTGTGGTTGAGATTGATGATGTGGAAGGTTTTGGGGTTTTTTTCATTTTTGTTTGTTTTGCTGGCATAGGTTTCATTGTCTGGTAATACAACTGTGTTAACCAACACCTGTACAAAGCATACAAGACAAGGTAGGAGATGTCACTACCAAAAAGCCCACTGTGGGGAGAACCCACCAACAAAGAAGCCACCAAAGTAAAGCCCTAGCACAACAACAGAGTCTGCACAAATGGAAGAAAGGGCAACCCTAGAGCATCCAGACAAGGAGATCAGAGAGAACATACCACTGAGCCCCACAGAACCCCTACCACAGAAATTCCTTCCCTGAAGACAGCTGGCAAAGCAGAGCACCCAGAAATGCAGAAACAAACAAAAATAGTCAACTAAAATGGGGAAAAAAGAAAGAATCCACAAGGGTTCTTGAAAGGAATGAAAGGGTTTGTGAAAGGAATGGAAGAATCCCCAGTAAAAGAGCTAAATGAAATGGAGAGAAGCAAACTATCAGATGTAGAACTCAAAATAATGGTTATAAAGATGTTCAAGGAACTCACAGACAACTACAAAGAACTGAGTGGGAACTATAACGGCATAAAAAAGAAAATAGAAACTATACACAAGAACTAGGAAG